TTCAGATGTCTTGGCCTTCAGGGTAGCTTCATCTCAGTAGCAATGGTTCACTGCTTTTCTAACCTTGGGGGAGGGAGTAGGAAGGGCTTACAACGGCTTAAGACTCTTGTACATTCCTGGGGCTTCCTGAGCATGCTGTTGTTGTTTTGGTTTTTTGTTTGTTTGTTTTTTGTTTTTACGAGACAGGGTTTCTCTGTATTGTTTTGGAGGCTGTCGGTCCAGCCCAGCCTCGAACTCACAGAGATCCACCTGCCTCTGCCTCCCGAGTGCAGGGATTAAGGGCGTGCACCACCACCACCCGGCTTTGTTTTGTTTTTGTTATTGTTTTTCAAGACTGGGTTTTTTTGTGTAGCTTTGGAGCCTGTCCTGGAATTCGATGAGTAGACCAGGCTGGCTTCGAACTCACAGAGATCAGACTGCTTCTGCCTCCCAAGTGTTGGGATTAAAGGTTTGCACCACATATGCCCAACTTGTTTGGGGTTTCTTGTTTGTTTTTGTTTTGTTTTTGACACAAGGTTTCACTATGTCTGTTCTAGAACTATGTAGACTAAGCTAGCCTTGAACTCTTGGAGATCCACCTATCTCTGTCTCTCTGAATGCTTCTGGGATTAAATGTGTGTTCCACCAAGTCTGGTCCTTACATTTTATTTACTTCCTGAGGCTTCTGACTCTCCCTCCTTTCTACAGGAGGAGATGTTTCAATTGGAAGACAGTAATAGCACAACACTTCATCATCTTCATTTAATGTTGGGCTATATATGTGGTGTTTATGGAACATAAGAGGTTGTGGATTTTTATGAACTGAAAAACCAAGTAGAATAACGTCCAGTGTATGTGAAATGAGTAATGAAATTAGAAAGTTGTGCAATCAGCTGGGAGGGTGGCTCAGTGAGTGAAAGTGCTTTCTATGACAATGTGGTGACTTGAATTCAGATTCCCAGCACCCATATAAAAGCTGAGCATGGTGCCATGCTCTGTAATTCCAGCGCTGGATGGGCAGACAGGTAGGTCTCCACTGCTTACCTGTCAGCTGGTCTGGCCAAAAGGGTAAGCTCCATATACAATAAGAGTCTCTGTCTCCAAAATAAGCTGGGAGCCATGGAGGAAGACATTCAACATTAAGTTCTGGCCTCTGTATGTGCATGTACACACCGGAGGGTTCATCCAAGTACGTGTCCTACACACACAATCACACAAAAAGGGAAGGGGGAGAAGGAGAGAGCAGGAGGGAGGGAGAGAGGGAGAGGGAGAGGGAGAAGAGAGAGAGAGAGAGAGAGAGAGAGGGAGAGGGAGAGGGAGAAGAGAGAGAGAGAGAGAGAGGAAGAGAGAGGGAGAAGAGAGAGAGAGAGAGATCTGTATTTCCCAAACTAAATCATTACTACTGTGACTAGAACTTCAAAATAGGTATTTTTCCTTTAGTGAGAGTGACAAAATGTTCAATAACTTTTTCCATTTTATAATAATTTTTAAAACATTCTTTTGGGATTTATCCACTTATTAGTTTATGTGTATGAGTGTTTTGCCTGCATATGTTTCTGCACCATGTGTGCGACTGGTGCCTTTGGAAGTCAGAAGAGGGATCAGACCCCCTGGGATTGGAGTTACAGATGGTTGCGAACTGCCATGTGGGTGCTGGGAATCAAACCTGCAACTTCTCCAAGAGCAACAAGTGTTCTTAAGCACTGACCCAACTCCTTCAGCCCCAGCCATTTTGTAATTCTTATCATTATGTACATGTTAGCTCTTACTTATGTACTTTGATATAACATGAATTCATTCCATAGGAATTCTTCATTTTTTGTTTGTTTTTGTTTTTGTTGTTTTTTTGTTTTTTGCTTTTGTTTTTGTTTTTTTTTTGAGGCAGGGTTTCTCTGTGCAGCTTTGGAGCCTATCCTGGCACTCTGTAGACCAGGCTGGCCTCAAACTCACAGAGATCCGCCTGCTTCTGCTTCCCAAGTGCTGAGATTAAAGGTGTGCACCACCAACATCCAGTGGAATCCCTCATTTATTTATATGCATATATTTCATGTTTCCTAAATATTTTCATATTTTACAAAGGAAACAGTGTCCTAAATAATACTTTTGCCTGGAGTTAAAGCTTCATGGCAAAGCATTTGTCTGGCATGCACCAGGCCTGGGCCCAATTTCCATCTCTGTAAAATTAATAAAGAGACAAAAACAATTTTAGTGTACACCAACTTACTTCACATAAAACCAAAGCCAAATAGTATCAGCTAGCTGTGAACCCTACAGTCTGCAACACGTCTGGCAAGCAAACTGTGCCACTGGTACAATGATGGTTACGGAATAGCAACTGCCTGTGAATTGGATTTGAGACTTGCCCGACTGGGAGGATTTCATACCTGGTACTGTTAATCTGATGAAAATCCCTTGGCTTGGGAGGTCATGTGCCTTAGGGAAGAAGCTAATATTATTGCTTTGCTAAATGGACATGTCATCAAACTGCCCTCTAGATAACTATATTTATAGACATAGATTAGTATGCCTTCGGCCTTGGCCAGAAAAACGTCCCTCCAATCAGTTAATGCAGAGACTCATAGTCAAAGTGCTGAGACTCTTGCGTGAGTGTTCAGCCCTAAGTGGGCATCTCTATCAACCCCACCCTGTAGCTCAGAAGAGGGGATGAAAAAATAGAGAGGATGGGGAGGAGTACTGTGCTGTCTTCTAGACATAGAATGAGCACAGCACTTATAAACTCACTGCAGCTGTGGTCACCTACACTGCAGCCACAGTCACCTGTACTGCAGCTGTGGTTACTTTGCACACTCTCAAGCCAACAGGATCAGTCAGCATTCCAACAGGCAGTACTAATTGGACTAGGGGGTTATGAAAATAAGGAGAGGGCATAGATGTAAGGGATGTGTTGGGAATGCCTGGGGAGAATGTGAGGAGGGACTATAGGGAAGATATGATCAAGATACATTGTTCACATGTATGAGCTTGTCAAAGAATAAATAAAATACATTTGTATTTAAAGTGCAATATACAAAGTTTCTAAAAACATACTATAATCATAAGAGAAAGAGCCTGTGCTCAGAAAATAATTTTCCACTGATGGAAGAACTGTGTCTTTGTAACCAGTAAGGGGAATGGGTCCTTGGTGTCACCCGAAAATCCGCTCACATGTTGCAGTGAAGATGGAGCTATAAAGGAGATTAAGAGAAGTGGGGCGCGGTGGCCCACACCTTTAATCTCAGCATTTGGGATGTCTGAGTTTAAGGCCAGCCTGGTTAATCTACAGAGTGAGTTCCAGGACAGCAAGAGTTACTAGAGAAACACTGTCTCAAACAAAAAAGAGTTAACAAAGCAAAGTCTGGAACAGGGAGAAAGATAAATAAGGACTTATAGTTGGGCATGAAATAACCAAGCAAGACAGATAAGAGGAAGGACAAGGTTCTGGACCAAAGGTTGCCCGCCTCCTCACATCCCCTCCAAAGCCCTTGAGGAACATATGTAAGTCACTGTTGTTCTTTTATATTGTTCTAATTTGATTCTCCTGCAGTGACAAAACATTCCGACCAAAAGGAACATAGAGGTGGAACGGGTTTATTCTGCTATACTTCAAGATCAAAGCCCTTGAGAAACAGAAGCACTTTTTTGAGAAGCTACAGCACTTTTCACATTGCTTAGTATTTTCATACTAAGTCCATAGTTACTTTTCACTACAAATTTTTCCTAACATTACCAACCAGTAATTACGGAAGTCAACAAACAGAGTCACAATCTAGTCTGCAAGGGACTAAATACTGTTATCCTAATAAATGAGACTGGTGAATGGAACCCAGAGATGTTGGTTCACAAAAGACTATGCACTGGGTTGGAGGGAGAGTTCATTTGGTAAAGTTCTTGCAATGCAGTAAGAACTGCATTAGGGTTCCCAGCACTGGTGTAAAAAGCTAGGTGTGGGATCCTAGCGCCAGGGAAGCAGAGACACGAAGCTACCTGGATCATATTGCCTGCTGGTATGGCTGAATCAGTGAGATCCAAGTTGAGAAAAAGACAACTAAGTGAACGGTAAGAAAACTAAGGTGAAGGGTAAAGAGGAAGACACCCAACATTTACCTCTGGCGCGCGCGCGCGCACACACACACACATGCACACACGCACACACACACACCCCATAAATATCATACATTATACAGTGAGAGAATACACGTTTAGACCTTCTTTTTTTTGGAGCACAATCTCTTTGCCACCTCTTTCCTTCTCTCCTCCCTTTTCACCCCTTACCCCCACTGAGTTTCGACACTGACTTAAGTGGAATTTTTAAAGTAAAACGTTTCTTGGGCAAGTGAGATGATTCAGCAGGTAAAGGCACTTGCTATGTAACCCCGACAAACCAGAGTTCAGTCCCTAGACTCTGTCATGGAAGGAGAGGATCAACTCCTGAACATTAGCCTCTGACCTCCATGAGTGCCATGGCATGCATACACATGCCCCTACACACGTACACATCAGGCACATGTAATAATAAATAAGAACTTAAAAATCTCTTATTTAAATTTTGTCTTTTACCCTATCTTGGGAATCCTCATAGAAGAATATAGGATAAACTATGGAAAGAAGAACATTTTCTGAAGAGAAAGGCACTCACTGGGACCTAAAGAGATTATTCATAGCTGGGCAGTGGTGGCACATGCCTTTAATCCCAGCACTCGAGAGGCAGAGGCAGGTGGATCTCTGTGAGTTTGAGACCAGCCTAGTCTATAGAGAAAGTTCCAGGACAACCTCCAAAACCTCAGAGAAACCCTGTCTCAAAAAACAAACAAAAAGAAAAAAAGAAGAAGAAATGATGCATGGGGGGATGAGGATATGGGTATATATTGGGAATTAACTTCCAACACATTCAACTACTTTTTTCACTCAATTTCCTTAGCATCCCTACAAAGCAGCTATGTTCTTATCCTCATTTTATATGTAAAGGGTAAATTGAATAAGGCATTGGAGGTAGATCACTTTGGTCCTCTGTCTCTTCACAGGCAGGAGAAAGACACTTTCTATCAGCATCTGAACTGGCAAAAACAACTGGACTGTGATACTCTTCTGTGAAATAATTTCATACTATCAACAGTTGGATCAAAACACAAGTTGACTTTATGGAACAAGATAAAACAAGACTGTTCAATAAGTACATCTGAATACAATTAAATATGGCCAGTATGAGTAACTCCTACTTCTTTTCTGATTACAACTTTAGCTTCATTTGTTTCTTTATTCATACCTTTTAGATATAGAAAATCATAACCCCATGAACTAAATCTACCCATAATTTTTCTTTTGCTTTGTTGCTTTTTTCTTTTTCTTTTTAGTGTTGGTAACTGAATCATTATTATGTATATGCTCTAGCACTTAAGTAGACCAGCCAGCTTATCTTTTTTTGTACAATATTTAGGAAACAATGTCTTTAACACTTTGAAACAATTTAATCCAGGCTGTGATGGCACAGCCTTTAATGTCAGCACTCAGGAGGCAGAGGCAGGTGGATCTCTGTGAGTTCCAGGCCAGCCTGGTCTACAGAGTGAGTTTTAGGACAGCTAGGGCTACACAGAGAAACCTGGTCTCAAAAAACCAAAGCAACAACAACAAAACACAATTTAAAAAAATCAGACAAGAAGATGTGAATGAGACTATGCAGTCCCCAAATCTTATTACATGTCTCACTACCTCTTAACATCACTCCACTAGAGCCATACCACTAACAAGGGAATGTTTAGCAAACACACTCAGACCATATTTGAAATAAAATGTCCCCCCAAATCATATAACACAAACCCCAAATTGTATTGACTGACTGATAGGTGGATGATGAACCAATAAAGACAGGGTCCCAAGCTGGCCACAGGGATGTCTTTGCACCTGTGATTTTTTTTTTAGATTTATTTATTTACTTATTTTGATTTATTTATTTTTTGATTTTTTTCAGACAGGATTTCTCTGTGAAACAGCCCTGACTGTTCTGGAACTCACTCTGAAGGCCAGGCTGGCCTTGAACTCACAGAGATCTATCTGCCTCTGACTCCCAAGTGCTGGGATTAAAGGTATGTGCTACCACCGCCTGGCTAGATTTACTTATTTTTACATGCTTTGGGTGTTTTGCCAGCATGTATGGCTGTGCAAGGGTGCCAGATCCTATGGACCTGGAATTGTGGGTGCTGGGAATTGAACCACTGAACCACCTCTTTCGCTGGTATCTGTGTCTTTCTAGCTCTGTTTGCTGAGTGCTGGAATTACAAGTGTGTGCTACCAGGGCCTGCCTTTGTTGTGCTGAGGATGCCACCCAGACATCTGTGTACACCAGGAGAGTGTAAGCTGAGTTACACGCTTAGCCTGTAAACCCGAACTGAGCAAGTGCAACTTAACATTCTTTTACAGGAATGTGCATAGTTATATATAATGTGTGGTGTCCTTTAACACACAGTCAGTGGACCCAGCCTACTTTGTTTAATAAATGTATATCCAAAAAGAGTCAAATAACTGTATTTTTGGCCAATACTATTTGTGGCATGTTTTTGTGTGGCCTGGAGTCAAAAACTATACTGGCTAAATACCATTTGTGACATGTTTTTGTGTGGCCTGAAAGCTAAGAATGATTTTTTTCTTCTTCACATTTTTAAGATCTTTTTTTTCAAGAGGAAAAAAGGGGGAAAAAAGAAATACAGAAAGTCAAGACAGAAAGAGAAAAAGAAACCATCTGTAGATCATAAATCTTTTGACACTTATTAGTTAGCCTTTTACAGAAAAATAATGGCACCTCTTATTTAAGAACTATAAAAGGTCTGAGATTTTTATGGTGTTTTCAAGCTGACAAGTTAGTTGGGCAGTTTCCTGGGTGATAACAAAAACAGGATTCCCATATAAGAGATAAAGTGCCTTACTACTGAAATCTCTTTCCAGAATGTCAGCACTAATTCCTTTTAATGAACCAACCTCCTTGTCTTACCACTCCTTACCAGTGTTATGCCATGGGCCAACCTTCAGCATGGTTTCAGAGGGGACAAAGTATGTTTGTCACGTCCAGCATGGTTCCAGGGATAGATCTGTCTGGGGTGGCAAGGTAATGAAGAAAAAACAAACACGAAGACACAGAGAACAGCTAGGATAGGCCCTCTGACAGAGAAAGAAAGCACCCAAGAAGCGCGGCCTGTTTATTGTATACAGTCGAACAGAGAGCCTGGTTATTGCTTACAGCTTAACAAGAAGGCGGTGTTATTACACACAGATAAACAAGGAGGCAGGGTAATTACATACAGCTGAACAAGGAGGCAGACTCCAGCGAGGAGCCGCTTTAAGGCCATAAACATGGGGTAAGGGTGGGAAGAGAGCAATAGTGGACAATTTTTGCATACATTATTAACATCTGCTCCTGGACCAAAGGAAGGCTTTGCCATCCCTCTGAGCCTCACCAGGGAATGGTGGTGGTTGTGTTGTGTTTGTGTGTGTGAGGTGTTATTTTTCCATGAGTCTGGGGTACTGGAGTCCTTGACATGGCTGTGCCCATGTCAACAGCACACACTCACTCAAGGCTTCCTCGATGCCACAAGGATTTAAACCTTGTGACTGGTTAAAAACAACTATTCACATCAGGAGTTGAGTAGCATTACAGCCAGGCCCTGTTTGTGGCAGTGGCTCTGTTCATGGCCTATTATATGCTCCTGGTGGTCTGTTAAAGCCATTGACACGAATGACGTTTTTAAAGAGGTTCAGTAGACACCCTTGCTGCAGCTGATGAGCAGTCAATTGTCTAATTTAGCCATCTGAAATCTTGTGCAGTCTCCTGACTCTGGCCACCTGGTCCCACACCGAGAGGTAAGTTTACGGTGAATTAAGCTGCAAATTAAACTCCAGTATTCCGTCAGGGCTATCATAGCATGGTTCATTTTTTTTTCCTCCCTAGGTAGGAATAAGTTTCTATTAGGACTTGCCATTTGCTAATCAGAATTCCACTGTTCCTTGACAAAACTGTTTAACTTTCTAAGTCTTTCCAGTGGTCTGTTTGCTTGCCTGGTTAGCTATTGGAGGAAAGCTTTGCAGGAAGAGGCCAGGCACAGGTGTTTATCATTGAGTTGGAACTAAGAGGGTCAGACGGCCTTCTCAGACCAATGTCTTTGGATCAACTATGCCTCGGGTTACTATTAAGAACTAGACAAGGACTTCTTCACTAGTTTTGCCTTCTGCCTGTGTTGTGTTTAATTCCTCTCCTTGGAATTAGGTTTATTCAACTTATATTTGGTGACTATGTTTTATCTTATTTTGGAGATCTGGGCTACCCAAGGACCATCTTTAGAAAATGTGTTCTCAAGTTCATTTCAATTGAAAACTAACTATTGCTTGTCAAACACTCACTTTCCTCCAGTTTTTTCAAGTTTTAATGTTAATAATTTATCTGTCTGACCACCAACCTTACCAAGGCTAAATCCGAGTACCCGTTTCTCTACTTTCTTTTTTTTTCTTTTTTTCGGTTTTATGAGACAGGGTTTCTCTGTATTGTTTTGGAGGCCATCGGTCTAGCCCAGCCTCGAACTCACAGAGATCCGCCTGCCTCTGCCTCCCGAGTGCTGGGATTAAAGGTGTGCGCCACCACTGCCCAGCAACCATTTCTCTACTTTCAACAAGATTTTCCCTTCCAAAAAGGCTTTAGAAGAACAAGGGAAATATCTTTTGTAAGGAAATTGTGCTTGTTGCAAGTTTAAAAGAAATAAATAGAGACCATTAGAATTAGAGATGTAGCTCAGCTGGCAAGGTGCTGGCCTAGCATGCATGCAGTTTTGGGTTCAGCCCCCAACAGTAATCCAACATGGTACAATGTCACATGCCTGTAATCCCACACAGCACTCAGCAAGGCAGAAAGGTTGGTTGTGCGAGGCCATTCTCAGCCACATAGCTAGGTTATGGGCAGCCTGGGTTACATTAGAACCCTGTCTCAGAGCAACAACAGCAAAGATACCCTCTATATATACTTATTTTGAAGATTAATACAATGATGGTATTTCCTCCATGGTATAGCTAGACAAAATTGGTAGACCCCAAATTATTCTCTAAATTAGCTATAATAAAACTCTTGAGCTGGTGATAGAGTACACTTGTAGCCTAAATACTCAAGAGGCAGAATTTCAAGGCCGGCTTGGACTACAGCAAGTGCCAGAACAGCCAGAGCTTCTCAGTGAGAACTCATCTAAAAAACTGAAAGAACAATAACAGAAACAAATAAAATCATACTTTCGTGTGTGCATTTTATTTTTTTCTATTCTTTTTTATTCCACTCCTCCTAGCACCCACACATTTGCTCTCCCCCAGATCCGTGTCTCCATTTCCTTTCAGAAAAGAACAGGCCCCTAAGGACATCAACCCAAGAACCAAGAACAAGATACAATAAGACTAGATACAAATCTTCATGTCAGGGCTCAGCCAGACAACCCAATAGGAGGAAAAGGGTTCCATGTACAGGTAAAAGAGTCAGAGACACCCCTCTCCCACTGTCTGGAATCACACAAAACACTAATAACCATATGTGCAGATACTCTATGCATATCCCCTCATGAAGGCTCTGTGATTTCCACTTCAGTCTCTATGAGCATGAGCCCTGCTTAACTGATTCTGTGGACTGTGTTCTCCTGGTGTCCTTGACCGCCCTGCCTCCTACAATTCTTACTCCCCCTCTTCTGTGTGGTTCTCTAAGCCCCAAGAGAAATGACCTGATGGAGATCTCCAGTCTGGGCTCTATCTGTCTCTGCCTTATGTTTGGAGGTGGGTATCTGCATCTTTTCCTATCAGCTGTGGGCAGAAGCCTCTCTGATGATGATTTGAGCTATGTGTGTAGTCTATAATGGGTATTTTTCCATCAGACTTTCCCTTTGCAGAGAAAACATAATTAACCTTTTACAGTAGTCATTCTGTATTTGCTTGAAGCACTTTCCTTTTGTTCTGTTTCTTTCTCTGTTTTTATCTGTTTTGTAAAGTTATAAAGATTCACTAATGAGCAAAGAAACATCCAGTTGTTGTGTCCTCATGTTAGGAATATTCAATTAGAATAAGACAGAATATCTAAGTGATATAAGTGTTGGTAAGTTTTTTGTGTTTATTTTTCAAACCTTGAAAAGTGTACTTATTGAACAGCCTTTTTTAAACCACAGTTACAAAATAAGAAAACAAGGGCTTAATTTAAAGGTAAGAAAGAAAATTCTGGCATGATTCAGTCTTCAAGTTTTTTTATTTTGGTTTTTTGAGAGAAGATTTCTCTGTGTAAAAGCCCTGGCTGTTCTGGAACTCGATCTGTAGACCAGGCTAGCCTCAGACTCAGAGATTCACCTGTGTCTGCCTCATGAATGATGGAATTAAATGAGTTATGACCTCCCAGCTCTGTCTTTAAAGTTTATATCATGAAAAATGATGTCAACACAAAGTTGTGTTTAAACAGGATCAAGGTTAAATTTATTTCATTATTTTTTTATTATTTATTTCTATATTATTTTTAAGTTCCAGGCTGGGCATAGTGGCACATTCCTTTAATTCCATCATCCAGGAGGCAGATACAGGTGGATCTCTTAAGTTCGATGCCAGTCTAGTCTACAGAGTGAATACCAGTACAGCCAGGACTACACAAGAGAAACCCTTTCTTGAAAAACAACAACAAAAACAACTACCCCCACCAAAATTCCCAGATATGAATATATATGTCCATGATATTTTAATATACATAATTAAAATATAAAACTAATTAGTAAATGAAAGTGTATTAATGGATATCATTTTAAAAGTTTTAATTTTATTAAATTTTAATGCACCAAAAATAATTAAAATTGTAAATCTCAGATCCTTGACTATAAGACATTAGTGAAGTGGTTAATCAGTAAACAAGTATTGATGCCTATTATTTAGATAGAACCCAGATATGTTGGTTATATATGCAGGGAACTCAGAAGACAATTGATTTTAATTAAAATAAGATAAACATATAAACAATTAATTGCTTTTCTCAGATCTGTAAGAGAGAAGAGGATTTGGGGCTAACCACTGTCCCCAAACCTGGACAGACACAGATCCCCCGAGGACAGGTCTCTGCGTACAAACAGACACAAGGACCTGAGCCGGGGCTGGAAAGTGTCAGCATAGCTGATGGTCTTAGTTGATTTCCATTTCTGTAACAAAACCCAATGAGCATGCAAGCATTTAATTTGGGCTCACAGTTGCAGCAGGTTAGAATCCATGACAGTCATGTCTGGGAGCCTGGCAGCAGTCAGGTGGTCGAGGCACTGGTGCAGTAGCTGAGTGCTCACATCTTGAGACAACAACCAACAGGCAAAGAGAGGTAGGTGGGAATAGCATGGACTTTTGAAACATCAAAGTCTGACCCCAGTGGCACACCTCCTCCAACAAGGCCACACCTCCTAATCCTTCCCAAACAGTTCCATACTCTGAGGACCAAGTATCAAATATATGAACCTATGGGGCCATTCTCATCTAAACAACCACACTGATGAGTAGCTAGAGGCTCAGAGCAAGCAGTTTCGAGTGGTACCTAGTCCTAGGGAGACTTGGTAATTTCGCTATTATAATAATTTTGAGGATTTGGACCTGTGTTCTATCAGTAAATATCAGAGAGAATCAAGTCACCTGTTTTATCCAGCAAGGAGCAGAGAAAAGAGAAATTTGAAATACAACAGAGAACTCTGTTCATAACAAGGTTTCTTCTAAAGATCAACCAGTTAACTTGAGTGTAGTCTGCTGGAATTTCCTGAGATTCTAACCTGACCTAGGAGATAGACTATCAAATTGCAGTCATCTGTGCCCTTCCGTGCGGGTGAAGAGAGATGCGTACATGACCAGAGAACTCTCATGGTTCAGCGTCTCTGAGACTGAGGAAGAACTGGTGAGTCCTCAGCTCAGTTCCACGCCCCCTCTTTAAAGACTGAATGCTAGCTGTCTGTCTACAGAGTGTGCTCCCTTCCTTGTAACTTAATGCCACATTTCAAGGTCTTATAGCAATTCCCTTTAATGCTACATTATGCCCAGTTATCAAGAAAAAAAAAACTAAGGTTTTTCAAACAGAATAAAGACACGATTTGAATGTATCAAAGTATCAAAAAGACACGGCAGGACTGTTGGAATTATCAGAAGAGGCGGAATGAAAACAATAATGTATGTGTTGGGAGCGCTACTGGACAAGGAAGGCATCAGGCAAGGACGGATGGGCAGTGCCAGCAGGGGAAAGGAAAGCTCATCAAAGAAACACTAGTGATCAAAACACAGTAACAGGGCCTGGCGTGGCAGGACCGTCCTGCAATCACAGGACTCAGAAGACAGAGGCAAGAATATCTCAAGTTTCAGGCCACCCAGTGCTAAACAGCAAAACCTGCTTGTAAAAATGAAGTAGGACAGTAAAACAAAACTACTGTGACAGAAACAAGGAATGATTTTAAAGGGATTATTTAAAGAATAGACATGAGTGAGGAAAGAATTTATGAGTTGGAAATAATTTCAAATGAAATCCCTCAAACTGAAAAGCAAAGACAACACAGATTGGAAGATATAGAACTAAATATCCAAGGACTATTAGAAGAAGATACAGGAAGGAACAGCAAATAAGAGAACAATAAGTTTCTGTCAGATAGCAAGCCACAGATCAAGGAAGTTCAGAGAACACCACAGAGAATAACACCCTCCTTCCCCCTAATAAAATAAACAACAACAGCACAACAAACCCTTCACTTGCAAAGTGTTAATTCCAAACTACAGAAAATATGAGATAAAGAGAGAATCCTATCATTTATACAAAATACAAAAGCTAGGAAATGTTCATTCTTAGGTTCTACAGAACAGTAACTATTGTCCACACAATCTATTACATGCAAAAAAGAATTAGAAGAGATGGTACTCAATGTTCATAATCCACAGTTACAATTGTTTGACAAGACAGAAATGCCAGTTACTCTGGTTGGATCATTACATGTAGGTATCAAGTTATCATATTGTCACATATAAGTATATGCACATATTAGGTTAAAAAGAAAGTCACTAAATTCTGAATAATTCCAGAAGTGGGAAAATACCTGAGCAATAAAGGAACAAGGCAAAGAGTTTCATTTACCTTGGAGACAACATGCAAACAGAAGAGAGCACAGTGAGGTCTTCAGAGTGCTGAGACAAGCTGCATATGGTGCCGACATCTATACCTAACACTCAGGAGGTAAAGGCAAGAGCATAGACAGTTTGAGCTAGCCCCGGCTACTAGGTGAGTCTGATGTCAATCTCAGCCACATAGCAAGACACACTTCTTCAAACAAACAAGCAATCCGCGCCCCCCCAAACAAAATAAAAGCCTGAAACTTTGCTAAACTACAGCTTCACATTTTTTAAAATTATCCTGTAAAACTGAAGGAGGTATAAACACCTTCTTAGACAAACGGAAAGAATTTGTTGCACACAGATAGATTATCCTCACAGGGAATAAATAACAAATAAATTTCCCTTACAGGGAAATAAATAATGCAGTTAAGAAATTCAAAATTTCATAAAGAAAGCAAGAAAGGAACACATGAAATTATAATGATAACTTTATTTTTTGTGTTATCATGACTAATTATAATATCACACTTTGATGAAAATAATAATAGCAACAATGTATGTATTATGTGGACTTACATGGATGTGTGTCCATATACATGTATAAATATGTTATTATTTGGCTATGAAGTGTTCCCTCCTTTCAAGAAATACTGTGTGAAAGGCTTAGTCACCAGCTGCTGATCCTATTGGGAAAACATTTATTACCGAGGGCGCTAACTACTGTGGTGATAGTTGGTTTATAATCTAATAAAGCTTGCCTGAAGATGAGACTGTAAATGTAGCCACAGCCATAGAGGCCCCGCAGTGGTGGAGCACACCTTTAATCCAGGACTCAGGAGACACAGGCAGATGGATCTCTGTGAGTTCAAGGCCAGCCTGGAAAAACCCTGTCTCGAAAACCAAACCAAACCTAACCAAACCAAACCAAACCAAACCAAACCAAACCAAACAACTCGGAAGTCTGAAAGCGTAGTAATTAATAGTTTGAGATTTCTGAGCGATAGCTTCCCTGCTCCCAACCTGAAACCATTTGAGGCTTTTGGTGATTGATTACCCGGGAGAAGTTGCGGGGATGGAAAAAGTTATTTCCAAAAAAAAAGGAAGTGTGTGTGTGTGTGTGGGGGGAGAGTCAACAATTAATTGTATTTCATCAGCGCCTTAGGATGCTTTCAGCTTAACTCTCGTATTCATTTCATTCTGTCCATCAACCAAGCATTGGGAGACCAGCCCCTCACAAATGATGCCCGAACTGTTTTCCAACTCGTCTTCTCCACTTTGCACATGCACCCCTAATCACAACTCAAACTACAAAACGTCTACATTCCGAACCACCCCCAGTTTTCGGTGGTAGCTCATCCTGACCACAGGGACCTAAAAGGTCGGCAAACTGCACTGGGAGGAAAGCTAAGTAAGCCACGCGCGGGGAAAGTTAATGAACTCGGCGCGCGCTCTAGGATGCCCCGCGCAGGAGCGCCCGGCAGGTGCGCGCGCACCTGTCGCTCGCTCGCTCGCTCGCCCAGCTCATGCTATGCGCTCGCCCGGTGCGCGCCGTGGAACCGGAGCCGGAACCGGAGCCGGGCCCCGTCCCGCTAATGCTCGGCACCTGGGAGCGGCGGGGCCGCTCTCCCGGTCTCCCCGGAGTCGGCGGCGTGCCCCGCGGGAGTCTGGGAGGCTGGTCCGCTGGTCCGGTCGCACCGCCCCCTGGCGGCGGCCCGCGGAGCTGTCGGAGCGTGGGTCGGTCAGGCGTTCTCCGCGGGCAGCCCGCGGCGGGGCCTTGCCTTATATAGCGCGGGGTCCTCGGCGGCCTGGGTGGCTACTGCCCGTGCTGCTGTCGTAGACGCGGACGGCTGTTGGTGGCGGCGGCTGTTGGTTCGCGGCGGCGGCGGCGGCGGCGGCGGCGGCGGACGGCGAGGGCGAGGCGCCGGGGGAAGGAGGAGGCAGGCGCGGCGGCGACGGCGGTGGCCGGGGCCCGCGGCGGCGGCGGCGGCGGCAGCGAAGGGGGGCGAAGATGGCGGACGTGCTCAGCGTCCTGCGACAGTACAACATCCAGAAGAAGGAGATCGTGGTCAAGGGAGACGAAGTCATCTTCGGGGAGTTCTCCTGGCCCAAGAACGTGAAGACCAACTATGTGGTTTGGGGGTGAGTGCGTCGTCGCCCGTGGCCTAGTGGTGGTGGCGGGGCAGCGCCTGGCGCCCCTGGGCGACCTCGTCCCTAAGCCCTCCTCCTTCTTCCCCCCTGCCCGGTCCCTCGGGGATGGGAGGAAAAAAAGGGTGCTTTGGGGAAAAGTTATTCCCTGCAGCAGAAGTTGCACTTTTCGGGTGAGCAGGGGAGAGGCGGAGCGGGTTCTGGAGCCATCAGGTCTTCTCTGTGCTGGACAAGCCGCAGGGGAAGGGACCTTGGGAGTTTCCGACTTTGCCCAGTTGGTGGTCACCCAGATGTCTAGGTTGGGTGTCCGCGCCGGGCACGGCTGCTTGCTGAACGGCTACCTGGACCTAGTAGGTACAGAAGCACAGAGCGCAGCAGCTGGCGGCCACCAAGTCGCTTTTTGTTCTTAGTGTTTTTTTTTCGTCCAGGGGCTGCCATGTGTTGCAACTGTCTCCTTTGGGTTTTGGAGCGCTAGGGTAATTTTGTTTCTTTCCCGCCCCCCCTTCCGTTGGGGAGGGTGATGCTATCCCTCAAGATAAAAAAGAGAAGGGGATAGACTACTACTTGAAGTTCAGGAAAGAGAGATTGGGAGAGTTTGGAAGTCTGCAAGATGAGTGTTCCAGATGAAAGCAGGACTTGGTTGGGCAGCAAGTTACTGGTGAAATGCCGTTGAGGTCTTTTTTTTACATACGGGTCTGAGAAATTGATCCTATGTGCTTTTCGGAAAGCGCCCTAACGAAAAATGTTTGGGAATATTGATCCATGCATGCCATGGATTAATTTAAGCCATTCAGGAAATCACCGAGGATCAAGTTTAATAATCCTTTGGGGGCCTCTTTAATGACGTTATTGTCATTGATGCGTCGCTTTGATAGAATCACGGAGTCAGAATTTTGGTACCCATTTTTTGTTTGACTGAATGATTTTATGAATGGTCAATGAAAAACTAGAAAACTTTAAGATTTCTTTTGACTTACTGATTCCCATTTTGAAATGCTGATTAAGTGACATTCCGAGTTTACCGTGTCTTACTCTTTCAAATAAATTATGCAGAACTTGGTTTTTTTGTTTTTGTTTTTACGAGACAGGGTTTCTCTGTATTGTTTTGGAGGCTGTCGGTCCAGCCCGGCCTCTAACTCACAGAGATCCGCCTGCCTCTGCCTCCCGAGTGCTGGGATTAAAGGCGTGTTCGCCACCAACGCCCGGCCTCAGAAATTGGATTTTAATGAATATTTTTCATTAAAAACTCAAGGTATAGCTGTGTGTGGTGGTGAAAGCCTTTAATCCCAGCACTAGGGAGGCAGAGGCAGGTGGCTCTCTGAGTTCAAGGCCAGACTGACTGGTCTACAGAGCAAGTTTCAGGACAGCCAGGATTGTTTAACAGAGAAACCAACCCTCCCACCCCCCCCAAGGAAACAAAAGGAAACAAAGCGACTCAAGGTATAAAGTTTAATTTGAGAACTAGGAAAAAGCTGAAAACTCTGGTTCCTTCCAGCCTTACACAAGGTTAGCCTATTTTGGGTAGAAAAGATGAAGCAGATTAAGTTGATGTGAAATGTTTCTAGCTGATCGGATGAGAACAGCTGTTTAGTTTACTTCTAAACTGAGCAGTGCACGTCTTTAATCCCAGCACTCTGGAGGCTATGGCAGGCAGATCTCTGAGTTCCAGGCCAGCCTCATACAAAGCTCGAGTTCTGCTACAGTCAAAGCTACACAGAGAAACCTTGTCTCGACACCCCTACCCAAAGTTGTTTATGTCTAGGGGGCGGTTCATGGAAATTCTTGACATGCCTCCATTCTACAAATCCCCTTCCTTGAATAAATGCATAAACAGATGGATAAGCTTTAGCGAATGGGTAAGAATTCTGAGTGAAATGGGGGAATAGTCTTCCATTATGAGGGGACTGTATATTTAAGATATGAAACCTGAAAGGACATGTTTTGACAAGCGCTTATAAACAAGTGAAAAGTAAAGCTTAGAAAAACATTGAAACTTTCAACATCAGATCTTCAGCAGTTATTTTCTACATGTATGCACATAAATATGTACATGTGTAAAAGACTAATCAGTACCCTTCATGCAGTCAGTACTTTCTGCTAGTTTTTATAATTACTTTGTATTGATTAGTTTGTAGTGATTAACAAGTAATGACTGATTTCATAGAGGAAAAATGATAATAGAAGTTATTAAGGTAGGTTTAGGACATTGACAGATGGAGTCATATAGTTTAACCATAATAACTATAAATGGAGGAAGAAGGGAGACTTGGAAAACTGTGTGTGTGTTTGCATTAGAGAGCTTGTACCCCCCCCAAGACTACATTGCTACATTGTCTAATCACAGATAGAAGTGTATTTTGGTTTTGTGTTTAGTTTGAGAGACATTTTAAGGATCGCCTGTGAAGTTGACCCTGTTTACTTTTCAGTATATTGTTGAGGGTGTTGTATGGCAGTATCTTGTCTGGAAAGAACCATAAGATGTTCATTTTGTAAGTGAAGCCCTAGTGATACCTTCCCCTAAGCAGTTTGTTTTCTCTGAATGACCCTTTCCATTGTGCAGTTGGCTGGCTTTCTCTGTTGACAGAGCCCAGAACTCAATTTCTGTGTAAAGTGAGGCTGAGTACTTGCCTAGCACGGATGGGTTCCTGCATTTGATCTCTGGCATCACATACAACATGCCACCCTCAGCTATGTAGCGGGTTCGAGGGCAGCTGGGATACATGAGACCTTGCTTAGAAATGGAAAAGAAAAAAGTACATATAGTATTTTAGAATAGGAATTTATATGCTCTGTTTCTTTCGTTTTTATTTTGTCTTTTTGTCTCAACAACAACTCACTTGTGAGCATTTATATTGCACATATATTTTTGCTGTGTTAAATACATTGTTAGATAATCAGTTAGCTATAGATGAATGAATACATGTAACTAAGGTCAAATATTTGATTTGAACACTTTAATAAAACTCATGCTTTAATCATTTTAGGACTGGAAAGGAAGGCCAACCCAGAGAATACTACACATTGGATTCTATCTTATTTCTACTTAATAATGTGCATCTTTCTCATCCTGTTTATGTCCGACGTGCAGCTGTAAGTAGAATTCATTTTAACATTTCATTGATTAAACAATCATTGTTTGGTGTGGAAAACTTTCCCTGAAATGGTTTTGGACAGTCAAAATTAAGTTGCTGTGTGATTTACTCAATTGGGTATTGGAGGAGGAACACAGGTTTCGTGGAGCCCAGGCTGGCCTCCAGAATCTTTGTAGGTGAGGATGATCTTGAACTTCTGATTCTCTACCTCAAGTTCTGGGATTGAGGATGATCTTGAACTTCTGATTCTCTACCTCAAGTTCTGGGATTAAATGTGTGTGCAATCATGCCTTGTTCATATGGTGTTGGACACCGAACCAGGGCTTCATGAATACTATGTAAGTCCTAGAGGTACCCACAGCCCTTTAGCTTTTAAAAATGAGGTCCTTATCAGATCTTGGTGGAGTAACACATAGAATTATTTTGGAGATATTGATATAATCAAATGTTCACTCTAAATGTTTTAGCTTATGAGTACATGTTAGTGCATTGTTTTAATTTAAAGTAGTAAATTTAAATTCTTAAAACAGACTTCATAAGCACCATCATTGTGCTTTCCATCACAAGAGCTACTCTTTGACTATTTCACACTACTGCTGGATTGTATTATGTTGTAGGAAATTTACGTTTATAAATTTCCTTCAAAGCAGTGATAGCTGCAGTTTGTGCATAGCAGTTTGTTATTTGGACCAACTGAGAAAGAACTCACTTTGAATGGCTTCAGTATTCATATTCAGTAGGACTGCTTTTCAGAAAAAGAAAGAAACACATTCAATGTTAAATACATTTTTAAATACTTAAAATTGGTAAGTAGCAGGGAAAATATTAGCAATTGACCATTACATTGTTCTTTATTAGAGCTTTAAATAAAAATGAATCAGGCATTGGACAGTGGTGGAGCAAGCCTTTAATCTCAATATTTGGGAGGCAAAGGCAGGTGGATCTCTTGAGTTCTAGGACAACCAGGACTGTTAGAGAGAAACCCTGTTTCAAAACAACAAACGGAAAAAAAAAAAAAAAACCAAAAAAAACAAAACTGAATCAAGCAATAATTAGAATTAATTGTTAAATAATTTAAGTACTTAGAGATTTAAAGATTATATTCTTTATAGTGGTTACAATTCATAACTAATAGTTACAGTTGTTACTGTGGACCCTAGGATTTTAAAGTCATATAAGATGTAACACTTATTTTCTTAAGAATTTTCCCACTTAAAAGGAGTAGAAATCTGAGGTTCTATAATAGTTGTACAGATTAAAGGTTGCTTTTTTTTTTTTGGTTTTTTCGAGACAGGGTTTCTCTGTGGCTTTGGAGGCTGTCCTGGAACTCGCTTGGTAGTCCAGGCTGGTCTCGAACTCAGAGATCGGCCTGCCTCTGCCTCCTGAGTGCTGGGATTAAAGGCGTGCGCTACCAACGCCCGGCTTAAAGGTTGCTTTTTTAATTGCCATGTTATTAGCTCTGTTGCACTGACTCTTCCTGGAGTAGGTGCTCCTGACCCCTGGTGCCTTTTAGTGTCAGCAGACCTGTAGCTTCTCAGATGGCTCCAATGTGGGCTATACTTTAAGTGATTCAGAAATACCTCATCAGATATGTGTAATGTTCCATGTAGGCTGATTAAAAAATGACAAAGACAGAAACTTGTATATATACTCATAAGGAAAAACTAAAATTTAGCCTGATCTTTGAAAAAAAATTAAGTGCTTTATTTGTTCAGTTAGGACAAAAAATTATGTGCAAATACTGGGTGTTGTTGTGATATATAGTGGTCATTGTGAGGTAATTGACTAGTGATACTAAGTATTACTGCTTCATTTTTTTTAAAAATTTATTTATTTATTACATATACTGTTCTCTGCCCACATACCCGCAGAGGGCACCAGATTGAATTGTAGATGGTTGTGAGCCACCATGTGGTTGCCGGGAATTGAACTCAGGACCTCTGGAAGAACAGTCAGTACTCTCAACCTCTGAGCCATCTCTCCAGCCCCTGTTTTTGTTTTTTGTTTTTGTTTTGTTTTTAGAGACAGGGTTTCTCTGTATTGCTTTGGAGCCTGTCCTGGAACTCAAAATGCAAAATGATAAGGAAAATTGTAAAGGCAAAATTCATTGGTCCAAAGAAGACTTGATTCCTGAAGTATACATTTTATTTGTTTTAATCATCTTTTAAAAAGTGCTTTTTTTTTTTTTTTTTTTTTTTTTTTTTTGGTTTTCCGAGACAGGGTTTCTCTGTATTGTTTTGGAGGCTGTCGGTCCAGCCCAGCCTCGAACTCACAGAGATCCGCCTGCCTCTGCCTCCCGAGTGCAGGGATTAAAGGCGTGCGCCACCACCACCCGGCAATTTTCAAGAATTTTAGATAATTTTTAGCTGTTTTTAAAAAAACAAATGTGAGTTTAAATAGATGTTACTAAGGTATGTTCAATAAATTCAGAGGCTACATGATATTTATCAAGTTTCATAGTTGCTTCCACTCAATATCTAATTTGTAATTTTGGCTTCAGACCGAAAATATTCCTGTGGTTAGAAGACCTGACCGAAAAGATCTACTTGGATATCTCAATGGGGAAGCATGTGAGTAGTTTTAAAATTGCACCCACTTTTAAACATTGTTTTCAGTCTTCCTTATGAAATAAGATGTAGTGAGAAGACTATATTGCTACTTACCTGAAGCTGTGTCTGTGTGCTTCTCCCTGGAGATGCACAGCGTTGTCTAGTTTTAGGCTGTCACTCCACCCTTGCACAAGGATTCTAGTCATAAACATGTCTCTGTAATTACTATTTCTGTTTTCCCCTTCTTCTGAATGATCACCTTTTAGAATGCATGTAGAAATGTGTATTCTTTACAAATTATTTTTGATTTCATATTTCTCTCTGCTTTTTTTTTTTTTTTTTTTTTTTTTGAGACAGGGCCTTTCTATGTAGCCGTCGCTGTCTTGGAGCTCACTATTTAGTCCAAGCTGGCCTTGAACTCACAGAGATCCGCCTGTCTGCTTCCAGAGTGCTAGGATTAAAGCACTGCCTGGCTGATTGCATATTTCTGTCATCACTGTTTTTATTACTATAAAAAGAAAGACTTGACATAATATCGCTACTTCTTTACCTGCTGGAAGTTCCTCCTGCTTAGCTTTCATCCTTACTATCCCATTACAGTTAGAGAGATTTGGAGTTGCCATATCCTTTGTTTCTTTTTACTGTCTTCACTTAGGAACATTTGCTACTGTTTGAGAGTGCGGTTTTGAAGTTCTTCACTTGGTGTTTGCAACCCTAGACTTTGGGTATTCTTTCTTTTCATTGTTTACTTTTCAGAATATCTTTGTCACATGATATTTCTATACCATATTGATATTATTTACTATTGAGAGAAATGTAAACAAATAAGATGCAGTATTAAGTTATAACTATAAAGTCAAGGGTAGTATGTTACAGTTTAATAATCATCTCTGACAGTTTCATTGAGCTCGGTAAGCACAAGTATCTGCTTAAAATGTCATGTAATATAATCTTGTAATGAGATTACCTATTGAGAATATTGTATGTTGTAAGAAGCGATTTCTTTCAGTTCTTAGATAATGCTTCCATAATGTATCATGTGTACAACTAAATTATGGGTTACTGACTATCTTATTGTTAAGTAGCTTCTGGTAAACAGCAATGTATTAGTTTTTTGAGCAGTTTTTTGAGAAGTCAAATTTATACATGAGCCTTCATCTTGATGAGAGAATCAGTGCTCCAAACCCCATGTTCAAGTCAATTGCATGTATCTCCAACTGACTCTGCTTCATATTTATAAATTTACTGTTGTCATCTTTCTTTAAATGCTTAACAGGCTTCTGAAATCTAGCATGTCCAAAATAGAGTGCCCAATTTTCTCCTTTCCATTTCCACCCACACAAAACAAAACAGTGAGTCTGTTCTCATCTTAGAGAGGAGTGATGGTTCCTTATGTGACTTCATGAAGTGACTTAGGACATAAACTCCAGTGAAAGTATTTTTTGGACATAAGTCCTTTTCTCAGGTGTGAAAACCATGACAGTTTTCCCACTCTACTCCAGCCGTATCCCACTTCTTTTTTCTAAAATCTCCTCATATGCTCCTACTCTTTATTTGATAGTTTATTCTGTATTTAACAAGATTTGTCTTTGAAAAACTGTGTAAATTTAATGAGCCATTTGTCTACGTAGGGCCATCTGTGGGTTCTATCACACGTGGGATAAAGCTCATGCTTCTTACCATTTAAACTCAATGATCATGTTTCTGCCTAAATCTCTGACTTCATCCTCCATCATTCTTTTTTTTTTTTTATCAAAGCAGTCAGTGATCTTTCAGTTGGTTTAGTTAATCTTAGAGGCTCTGTGATCGCTTTTCTTTTTGTCTTCAATTGTCTTATTGTTATTGGGCTCCCATCTTCCATCCATGCTCATATTCTTGCAGGTATCGTTCTGTCATTGAAGACATCTCTGACCATTCTAAAGTGCAAAATAACATCCACCCTCATGTCTGTCTGTGTGTAATCAAATCCTATTTATTTTCCAAACAAATGCTGTATTTTTACCCGAAGTTATATTTATTGATTTTTTTTTGATATTGTCTACTAGAGAGTGAACCTTAAAGTAACAATTGTTTCACTTGACTTATTTTATTACTCATTAAGGTTTAGAACAGCAGTGTATAGTAATTTGAGTAATTTTTTATAGGATATACATAAATTAGTACTATAGAAATAGACTAGATCTCACCTTCCCTGGGATAGAATTTGTTACTGTTAATAGCAGCTGTGTTACACGTTCTGCCCCATGTTTTAGGCTGTAGTGTTGGTTTGTGTAGAGAATATTGTGCATAATAGGAAGACCTCCAGGGCTGCTTTCTTGTGATATTTTCATTCTGCAAGTTCCTAACCTAGTCTTTACAACTTCTTTTTCTTTTTCTTTTTTGGGCAAATTTTATGTGTGTGGTTGTATGTGCCACAGCTCGTATGTGGAGGTCAGACAATAACTTGGAGTTAGTTCTCTTCTTCTACCTTTATGTAGCTTCTAAGAATCAAAGTTAGATTGCTGGGTTTGTATAGCAGGCTCTTTAGTTGTATTATGCAAAGTCTTATTACTTTCATACAGGGTAAACAAAGAATGAGGAGGAATCCTGAAATTCCTGCAAACAAAGGCAGTTGAGATGCAAAGATCAAAAAAAGACTCTTTATTTTTGTTTGAATCAAAGCAAACTTAATCATGAGAATCAGAATCATGGTAAACCTTTTTTTTTTTAACCATCAGTTTTATACAGTTTGTGGTTCAGAAGCAACATAGGCAAAAAAACCAAAACGGTGGTACAGTTCAGGCTGCCCCACCCCACCTGAAGTAACTCATTCCTGTTCCCCAAGGGGCACAGAATCCAAGACCCTTTCCTGGCAGGACCCACTTAGCTACAGGCCCCTGGAGAGGGCTTAAGCTCTAAGGGGTCAAGGCTGGAGGGAGGGAACCTGCACCTTGTCCCCTTGGTGTCATGGTAAAACTTTAAAAAATACATTCTTTTCTTCTTAGGCTCACTCTTATTCTCTCTTAAAAATTTAGTTTTGCTAAGTATTTCAGATGCACCTGGTAAATCTGTTCACTTTGGGAGAGTGTGTTACCTATAGGACAAATTTAGTTCTCAAATGTATTGTTTTGAATTAAGCAAAGATGTTACTAGTTCATGGAAAAGTTAAACTGCAGTTAAGATAATGTTATAATTGCTTAAAGACATTCACTGTTAACTTGTGTTACATGTTTAAAAGCATGATCTCAACAAAAGCCTAGGCAACTTTTCTTGAGCAGTAGAACTACACAAATAATTTTAAGCTTTATTTGGTAAAATTGAGTATCTTAATTTGAGGAAAAACAAATATAAAGATACTAATTATTCTGGAGTGTAGAACTTAAAAGACCTAGTGATTTAAAAACTGAGAATGAATAGATACATTAATAAAACAATTTTCATATGTTAGATAAGAAATACAGATGTGAGGCTGACCTTACGGTATGATGGTAGTGCATCTGACTCCAGAAATACACATATCAAATTTACCATTTGAATAAAGATGTGTGAGAGTAATGGGATTATTAGTTAGTATTTTGATTAAAAATGAAAAGTTCTCTATCATTAAAAAACAGCAAGGCAGTGGTGATTAAAAACCTCAGGATGCAGAGGCAGGTGGATCTCAGTGAGTTCTAGACTAGCCTGGTCTACAGAACTAGTTCCAGGATACTCAGGGCTTCACAAAGAAACCCTGTCTTGAAAACAACAACAACAAAAAACCAAACCACCACCAACAAAAAAGATATACTAGGAAAATGTTTCATCTGCTGTAGTTAGTTATACTAGTTACCACAAGAAGTATGACCTTGGAAATAGACACACAAAAGACCAACAGCTTGAATAGTTATAATGAACATATAATTAACAGAAAAGGTGGTAAATCACTTGTAATTTTATAATAAATTACAGATTTAAAGGGTATAAAGATAAGACTTTAAATTTTGCTGTTTGTCAGTAAACTCTGGTGAGACTGCGAGGGAGCATTCGGCATTGTTGGTTGTGTTACTTTATAATCTTCTGAAGTTGTTGACAGTTCATTACAAATGAAATAGAAACTCTACATTTGTCCTAGAGCTGTATTTTAAGATGTAAAAAGTGGCCATGCGTTGGTAGAACACCCCTTTAATCCCATCACTTGGGAGGCAGAGGCAGAAGGATCTCTGTGAGTTCAAGGCCAGCCTGGTCTATAGAGCGAGTTCCAGGACAGCCTCAAAAACAATACAGAGAAACCCTGTCTCAGAAAACCAAAAAAAAAAAAGATGTAAAATGTGACATGCATGTGAAGAGTTTCTTCATGCTATTGTTTGTAATAACAAAAGACTTAGAATTGAACTGCCTACTCATAGGGAACTAGTCAAATGAATTATAATTATTCCATACAATAGGATACCCCATAGATGTAAAAAGACAAAGTTAGGGAACTACCTGTGTACTGGTATGGAAGAGGTGTCCAAGCTTGTACTCTTTTGTAAATGGTAAACAAGTTTTAGAATATCCTGTGTATTATGCTGCCTTTGTGCACAAAGGTACAAATAAAGTGTAGTTTGTATTTCTTGTATTTGTAGAAGGATATGCAAGACAATAACTTGTTATATAGGGGCGTAGGAACTTGGTGGAAGGGGCCCAGGTACTCTTTTTGAATAGTTTTATTTTGAGCCATTTAAAAGTAAAATAATTTGAAGGATAGTTGGAAGTGTCCTACTGATTGTGAATAACTAAAATTTGTATATTAATTTGATAGTGTGTATATTTAAGTATTTGGAGGAAGCATACTCTCTAAATGTGTTTTTTTTTTTTAATGGGGGAGAATAATCTGAACTGACCGTTTAACTTAAGTAATCGACATCTCACTAGTTTGTAAGCTAAACTGTTAAGAATCATTTGTTCTTTCACAGACTTTAGAACACAGAGACATCCTGTTAATAAAATACTTTAATAGAGCTGCTTTTTGAAACCATCTTACCTAGGGAAATCCTCCTATGGATATAAGAAATAAAACAAAGCTTGAGCATTTCTCCTGGAATAACATCTAAAATATATGTGCAAATGTTGATATGCTTATATGATTTTTCTTTTTCATTTTCAGCAACATCAGCAAGCATAGATAGGAGTGCCCCCCTGGAAATAGGTCTTCAGCGGTCCACTCAAGGTACACCATGTCACATCTTTATCTTGAACTTTAAAATCCCTTTCCTAAAGTGCACACTTACTTGCTTCTTTTTTCTTACAGTCAAAAGAGCTGCAGATGAAGTTTTAGCAGAAGCAAAGAAACCACGAATTGAGGTAATAGAACTCTAATTTTTAAAGTAATGTGTTTCATACTGAAATTGGAATTGTGTAGAAATAAGAATTTTTCATAGACTGGGCAGTGGTGGTGCATGCCTTTAATCCCAGCACTTGGGGGGCAGAGGCAGGCGGATCTCTGTGAGTTCAAGGCCAGTCTGGTCTACAGAGAGAGTCCCAGGATAGCCAGGGCAATTACACAGAGAATTTTGTCTTGAAAAATAAAAATTCTAGCAGCCTTTTTTTCCTGAAAAGTAGATCAATAGGGGGCTTGCGTTATACTGTATTAAGTTCTGTGGTGAATATGCCATTTTATTTTCTTTGCTATTCTTTGCCTTATTCTATGGAAACAATGCCCTATGTCTAGGGTAAGAAACTATTATCTGATCATGTTAAAGGTTGTGTGCTAAATATTTTAGGTTTTCAGGGCCCTTCAGTCTTAGATTGTCGTGTTTCCATCTTTCTAGTCTCTGTTACTATATACACACATATATAGTAAGCATTCATAAATCACACATAAATTGATAGGTAAATGTAGTTGTTTTAATAAAACTATAAGATGGTGGGAGCCAGAATTGGTTCTCTGACTTCTAGAATAAGGTAGCATGGGGGATATTCATCACTGAGGGAAGTCAGGACAGGAACTCAAACAGGGCAGGAATGTGGAGGCAGGTGGTGACGCAGAAGCCCTGGAGGGGTGCTGCTTACTGGCCTGCTCAGCCCCTTCCCTTCCCCTTTCCTTTTTTATTTCTGGTATTTTCCTTTTTTAAAAAATATTATTTTTCATTTGTTTTACATACTAGCCACAGTTTCCACTCCTTCCTCTCTTCCCGTCTATTCCCCATCCACCCCTCTTCCCTTCAGAGAGGGGCAGGGGCAGGTGTGCCATGGGAGTCAACAAAACCTGTGATATCACTTGAGCTCCTCCCCCTGCATCAAGTCTGCATGGGAAATAGGTTCCAAAAAGCCATCTCATGTGCTGGGGACAGGTCCTGATCCCACTGCTAGGGGGCCCCACAAACAGACCAAGCTACAACTAACTGTCTACCACATGCAGAGATCCTAAGTTGGTCTCATGCAGGCCCCATAGCTGTTGGTCTAGAGTCCTTGAGCTCCCATTATCCCAGGTCAGCTGTCTCTGTGGGGTTCCCCTTCATGATCTTGACCCCACTTGCTTGTACAATCTCCTCCCTCTCTCCAACTGGACTCCCAGAGCTTGGCCCAGTGCTTGACTGTGAATCTCTGCATCTGCTTCCATCTGAGAGGAGGGAACCCCGATTGAGAAGATGCCTCCTTAAAATTGGACTGTCGACAAGCCTGTAGAGCATTTTTTAAATTAGTGATTCATGTGGGAGGGCCCAGCGTATTGTGATCCAGCATTACTGGATGAAGGCTCTCAGTTGACAATTAGGGTAGTCACGAATCTGATTACAGGAGAAGGCCAGTTGAGGCACTCTTTCCATTATTGCTATTAGTCTTAACTGGGGGCATCCTTGTGGATTCCTGGGAGTTTCCCTGTCACTAGGTTTTTTCAAAATGGCCCCCTCTATCACATTATCTCTTTCATTACTCTTCCCCTTGCTCACCCCTAACTCAACCAACCCGATGCCTTATGTTCCCATTCCCCTATCCCCTCCATCAGTCTTCCCCCCTTCCCCTAGGTTACCCAGGACATCTTATCTATTTCCCCTTCTCAGAGAAATCCATAAATCCCTTATAGGGTCCTCCTTGTTACCCAGCTTCTCCAGGGCTGTGGATTGTAGCCTGGTTATCCTTTGCTTTACATCTAATACTCACTTATGAGTGAGTGCATACCATGTTTGTCTTTCTGGGTCTGGATGATTTTTTTTTCTAGTTCATACATTTGCTTACAAATTTCATGTCATTGTTTTTTTGTAACCACTGAGTAATGCTCCATTGTGTTCTTGGTTTGAGGGGCAGCTAGGTTGTTTCCAGGGTCTGGCTATTACGAATAACGCTGCTGTAAACATAGTTGAGCAAGTGTCCTTGTGGTGTGATTGAGCATCCTTTGGGTATATGCCCAAGATTGGTATAGCTGGGTCTTTGAGGTAGATTGATACCCAATTTTCTGAGAAACTGCCATACTGATTTCCAAATAGAACCGAGGACTACCAACCTAGGAATGGCCCGCTGGGCCCTCCCACATGAGTCACTAATTAAGAAAATACAGTCTTGTCTACAGCCCAATTTTATGGAGGCATTTTCTCAATTGGGGTTTCCTCTTCTAAGATGACTCAAGCCTTCAGGTTGACATAAACTAGCCAGCACACATGGTTTATTAGAACATAGCCCTATTGTAAGTCAAGGAACCTCAGAAATCAGCTCCAGACTTACATGTTCCAAAATACACTGTTGTGTTTGTGAAAGTAAAAGGTCTTAAAAGTTGATTTAAGTACAATATTACATGAAACTGTACTGTTGTGATCTTGGTAAAGAGTTAATTTTTCATGATTTTTTTCTTGTAAAAGTCAAATAAAACTAACCGGTGATTTTTTTTTTAAAAGGATGAAGAGTGTGTGCGACTTGATAAGGAGAGATTGGCAGCTCGATTGGAAGGCCATAAAGAGGGGATTGTACAGACTGAACAGATTAGGTAAAGGTTTCTTCAGTAGATAGTATGGATTTTATTTAAAGGTGTGTTGAAAATGGGGTGTTTAGATGTTACAATTTACATTTGCATCTTTTTTTCATTGTATGTCCCTGTTCCCTAAGTTTAGAAGAATGCAATTGTCTGTTGAAATCTGTTGGTTATTAGTCTAGGATCTTTGCACAGATGCTAATACCCAGAGGTGCTCAAGTTCCTTGAGTAAAATGGTGAACATTTGTTTATAACCTATTGTATAATAACCCATTATAGATTATTACTGTGTTAGACTTTGCAACTGAATGTCAAATATGAGAACAGTTGTAGACGATAGTATTTCTTTGGCTCACTTTCAGTTTAGAGTTCTATGGTTCTAATCCTGGACCCATGTGTGGAAAGGCTCAGCATCATTGTATAGAATGGAGTATGTGGTAGAAAGCATTGCTGTTTACCTCATGGCACATAGGAGAAAAGTGGGGGGGGGAGGCAGAGGGTGGGCTATCTGTATGGAAGCTAGAAGGACCATGGAGATGATAGTGTTAGGGATTTCACTCTAGTGAACCACTTCTTTGCTAAGTCTAAACTCTTAAAATTTTTAGAAACTCCCCAAAATAGCACAATCAGTTGGGGACCAGGCCTTTAACGCATCTTCTGTTAATACACTAATATATCTGTGGCTCTGAAAGAATCATGCTTATAATGCAAAATATTTTTAGTCCATTTTTGATAGTCCCTGGAATCTCAGTAGTTCCAGCTTTATTCAAAGGGTCCAGCTTAAAGTCTCCGGAAGTGGAAATCTCTTAGCCATGAGTCTATAAATTTAGTAATGCCGGGAGGTGGTGACTCATGCCTTTAATCTTGGCACACTGGAGGCAGAGGCAGGTGTTTCTCTGTGAGATCAAGGCCAGCCTGGTCTATAGAGTTCCGGGATAGCCAGGACTACATAGAGAAACACTGTTAAAAAAACAAAAACAAACAAACAAACAAAAAATAGTCCTTAGGGGTTGGAGAGGTGACTCAGTGGTTAAGAGCACTGGCTGTTCTTCAGAGGTCCTGAGTTCAATTCCCAGCAACCACATGGTGACTCACAACTATCTATAGTGGAATCTGATGCCCTCTTCTGGCAAAATTATACATGCAGATAGAGCACTCACACACATAAAATAAATAAACAAACAAAGAAATAAATACTTTTTTAGTGGCAAGTTCCATACTTTTACTATACAACATTGTGAAATAAATATTCTTATTACAAAATGGAGAGATGCAGCAAAGGGAGGAATGGGACCAAAGCAAGCCTGCAATCTAGAGGGTAAATGTTAAATCCTGTAAATTCATGTCCACCATCAGTGGCATATGATGTGATGATATATGTATGTTTCAGTGGGCTTGGGTAACCCCATCCCTATGGCCTGACTTGTTACATTTCACATGGCCTCTCTCAATCTGGCTCTATTCTTTGCCTCCAAGTTACTGTGGCAGATGTTCCATGCCTGTATTGTGTCTCTAGGTTCACTTACAAGCCTCATGCATTGTCTCAGGCCCAGCTAACAATTTGTCTGGCCACTCAGGTCTTCCTTTGAAATCTGGGTGGAAATTTCTATGACCTTGTAACTTTTGCATTCTGAATGCCTGCAAAGCTAGTGTGATATAATCTGCTTCTAGTGGCTGGGGTCCTTAAAATCAAGGCTGTTGTGTTCTTTGAATTCCTAACTGAAGCTGGAGAAAGATTCTCATATGAGGCCCCAGATTAGAGGGACATGGTGATCTCAAAATAGTCTTTCAGCTGAGTTAAGTAAAATCTTCATTCCCCTTGGGGTCTGTTAATTCCTGAGATATCCCCAAAGCATCTATCCTGTTCCGATGCAAAGTACTAGGCTGGGAAAAAAAAAAGGAAAAAAGAAAAGAAAAAGAAAATTGGCCCCAATCTCTTCACCAGATACGCTTTACCCCTATATGAGCTTATTTTCTGGCATGCTGCACTTTCCAAACCTTCCCTAGTTTTTTTCCTTACATTTATTACAGTAAGTCTGGCTAAAACCACCTAGCAGTATTTATGCTGAGCTGCCTTGACATTTCCTTGGTATATTCCTTTTAAATTGAGCCCCACTCAAAGTCTGGGAGCATGGACAAAATGTGACAAGTTTTTTGCAACGGTATGGTACAAGTGTTTTTTGTGAAAGTCCTAATAGCATCCTTGCTCATTTTAAATCTCGTAATTAGCCAGCCTCAGTCTGAGCATTCTGGTTTTCTGAGTTCCCACAAGAAGTAAGCTCTGCCTATATAGCATCTTAGGACTTAACTAGTCCATCTCTCCAAATTTAACAAATTTTAGTTCCGTAAACCAGTTCCCAAAGCTTCTGAGGGGAATAGTCTGATGATCACAGCAGTAACCCTACCTGTCAACCAGTTTTCTCTTGCTTATACTGTTAGTGATAACTACCTGAGAAATGTAAAAGAGGAAGATCTATTTTGTCTCATGGTGTCAGACATTGTAGTTGATGGTCACATAACTCAGTTGTTTTTTGTAGCATCTGGTGAGGAAGGAACACTGTGACTTAGACATGTGAGCACTGACCAGGCCACACAGCTGTTTCCTGTTTCTCTTGGTTTTCTAGGGTCACTTCTTTCTTGACTGACAATTTGACTATGGGCTTGTGACAGTCTAACTCTCCAGGAATTTCTAATTATTCAGCCAGCCAGCCTTGTAGAATCTTCACCATAGGCATGACTTTCTTTTTTTTTTTTTTTTCCCCTGGGAACTTTACACTGAACAGAGATTAATTACAGTAATTATTCCCACTTACTTTAGAGACAATGCTGTTTTAAGTTTTCATTTTGGATAGTTAGCATTTTGTCTGGTTGTATTACCAACCTAAACTTGTTGGGTGGTAGTTGTTTCCATACTTTGTTATGTTCATGTGTTAGCATTTTACAGCAGTAACCTCAGTTAAGCTCTTTTCTTAAATATTCCTATCACGTAAATACTCTAAGTTCTCCCTGGGTTCTTCTTAGGACCTATTTTGGAATTTTTCAAGGCAGTAAACCAGAGAAGTTGTAGGAATTACTTCCTTCGCTTGTCATTTGTGAGAGAATAACTGCCATTCAGTGTTTAATACCTAATATCTGGTAAACCATAATGTTTTGAAGTTTAGCTAGTTATTTTCTGTCTTTTAAACTATTCAAATCACTGGCACTTTATCTTGACTAGAAGTAGAAATCTGATAATTGAAAGTTCAGTGTCAGGTTGAGCCATCCAGGTTCACTGGTAAAGACCGTGCTGCCAAGCTCATAGAGTGACCTGAGTGTGATACCCATACCCACATGGTGGAAAGAGAGAACCTACTCCTGCAACTTGTCTTCTGATTTTCACACATTGTGCTTCATGTGTGTGTGCACACACAAAGACAAATTTAATAAAAGCAACTAGATTTATCTAAAAACATGTTGGTATGCTCTAATTTTACATTTAGAAATCAATACAAAGTAAAGGAGAGAAAGATAGAAAACACATTACCTTCAACAATTCATTTATGGTACCTGTTACAAATCAACTGAAAGACAGGACTTCTGCGAATCGTACTAACCTGTCTTTTTTTTTTTTTTGAGATGAGTTAAAATACTCATCTCATGCTTTGTTATATCTACTTGGTCTTGCTTTTGTCTATTCATTTGTTCCACGACATGTGCTTTAGATTGAGTTAGAACTTGAGTTGCATCTCCTCCACCATTCTCCACAGATCCAAAATGAAGCTCAAATTCACTTTTTGAGTTTGAGCTGATGGTGGCCCAACATCCATCTCTAATGAAGATTTCTCCTCATGTTTGCGTCATCTAATCTCTCTTTTATAGGTGGACTGCAGAAAGTCCCCCAACAAGCACATTCTCAGTTTTTGTTTTTAAATCACAATATTGTATCTGTGCCTATGGTTTTCACTGTAAACTAATTAAGATTTGAGCAGGAAAGCATGGTGCAGGAGGGCCCTCATTTAGAACTTTTTTGGAAATGGTTGTGCCCATTACCGTGATACCGGAGCCACATTCTCTCCAAATTGATGAGCCAGTACATAATTACTGATTTGCAATGTCATTTTTCTTTAATGTTTTGTATTGCCCTTGCTTGGAAACCATATTGACAGTTTCAGATGGCAGACTAGTATAATTCTTTCCTAGTTTCTCCTCTTGTCACCCTTTGTTACTGATTCTTCTATTATATCTTTAGCTGTTGCTGCAAGACCTTGATGCTTGCCTGTGCTGGAATAGTTTCCATGAGCCACTGGATTGCTGGCCTAAGATCTTACCTTTTTTTAAATTATTTATTTTTATTTTACATACATTGGTGTTTTGCTTGCATATATGTCTGTGTGAGGGTGTTGGATCTCCTGGAACAGGAGTTACAGACAGTTGTGACCTGCCATGTGGGTGTTGGGAATTGAACCCATGTCTTTTGGAAGAGCAGCGAGTCAGTCTCTTAAGCTCTGAATCATCTCTCTAACCCCAAGTTCTGTTTTGTTTGTTTTTTTATTTGTATTTAATGGTCTCCATTAAGTACATGGCTTCATTCATGTATTACCTGTCCTCAACCACTGTTGAATTATTTCTCTCATTTTATGTTATAAAAAAACTTACAACACATTTTCAGGGTAGACTTTATTAATAGGTGGTTTCCACATATGGTTCCACAAGGGTTGCTCTCTTACTGGGAGACCAAAATTTTAAATTACATGTTTCACTGAGTCTTCCTATTTTCTTTTTTGTACTTTGTAAGTACTACTAAACTGAATGTAGTTAATAATTTTTGCTGTTCATATTAGAGAGTTGTTTCGAAGATTGTTATGCGTATATTTATTTAAAATAACACAGTTTTGAAAACAATTCCTAGGATACAATTTTTTTTAAAATTTTAGATTGGTTTGTTTTACTTTTTATGTGTATGAATATTTTTCCTATGTCTGTGTGCCATGTGCCTGGTGCTCACAGAGTTCAGAAGAAGGCGTCATAAGTCCCTGGAACTGGAGTTATGGGTGGTTGTGAACCACCATGTGGGTCCTGGGAATTGAACCAATGTCCATAGCCTTTGAGCCATCTCTTCAGCTTCTGGAATACTGATTTATATTATCCTTGAATCTCAAAGGGAGACATGCCAGAAAATTGAAAGCACTGAGAGATTTACTTTTTTTCATTGCATACTACAGTTTTTATTTACATTATTGTTGATGAATACATTTTTTAAATAAATACTACATTTTGCTTATTTGAGAATCAAGTAAATTGAAGACATAAAGTCTTCAGCATACATTTATTTCAGTATAGTTTTTTTATTTGCTAGTTTTTTTTTTTTTTTTTTTCCTTGAGATAGGGTTTCTCTGTGGCTTTGGAGGCTGCCCTGGAACTAGCTCTTGTAAACCAGGTTGGTATCAAACTCACAGAGATCTGCTTGCCTCTGCCTCCCCAGTGCTGGGATTAGAAGCTAGTTTCTTATAATGAAGTTTTAATTAAATTAGATATGGTTTTATCTTCCAAATATTAAAGGAACTGTTGTGGCATATAGAGTCTCTGGATTCTGAAGTCAGCTGTATATGTAGCCTGTATGTAGCTTTAAAACCTTTAAATATGTTTCATGGAAAAACCCAAGCTTTGAGCTTTTTTTAAGACAATGAATATTTCTCCCCATTACAAGATGACCTCTGTGCTTGTGTTTAGTTTTCATATATAGAGAGATACAGATATAGATACACTGGTAAAGCCACAGGGAATATAAGCAAAAAGCATTGTATTAGTTCTCTTCTGCAGGAGATTTAAATAAAAGGAATTTTATTATTATTATCTTAATTTTTAATTTCTTAATTTAAAGAAATTGATAATTCAAGGCTGGATTGTTCAATGTTTAAGAGCACTGGCCATTCTTTCAGAGGACCCTGATTTGAGTCTCATCACCCATGTGGTGGCCTACAATTGCCTGTAGCTTCACTTTCAGGGAATTTAAAGCCCTCTTTTGGCTTTCCTGGGTACTAGTCATACAAATGACACAATAGACTACATGTAAGCAAAACACTCATACTCATAAAATTAAAATAAATTACTTTCTTTTATAATATCTTTATGAATTGTTATGTATAAAAATCCTGTGTGACTATATGATATTAAGTATACAATTTTAGAGAAAACCTTAACAGTCACTTGCAGTGTGTGTGTGTTTGTTTTAAATCAATTTAAGTGCAACATACATATGTTGTACTGAAGGAATCTTTGCTGTGAAATTGAAAAACTAAATTACTTCTAGGTCTTTGTCTGAAGCCATGTCAGTGGAAAAAATTGCTGCAATCAAAGCCAAAATTATGGCTAAGAAAAGATCTACTATCAAGACTGATCTGGATGATGATATAACTGCCCTCAAACAGAGGAGTTTTGTGGATGCTGAAGTAGATGTGACCAGAGATATTGTCAGCAGGGAGAGAGTATGGAGAACAAGAACAACTATCTTACAGAGCACAGGAAAGGTAATTAAAATATTTTACTCATTCTTAAAGTTGTTTAAAATTTATTAGTAGGTTTTAAGTTTATTTATGTTTGTACAGCCAAGGACTAATTATTTTTAAACTTCTGTTCAGAGCAAATGTATGCTCTTTAAATTTTGAAAAATAAGAGTTTGAATGAGAGTCTGACAGTCTGAGAATCGTCCAAACCCATGTAAAGGGAGAAGGAGAGAATGGACTCTACAGTTTTCCTCTAATCTCCATGCACATGCTTATGGGTATGCACAGGCACACGCACACACACACACACACACACACACACACACACACACACACACACACACACACACACACCGTACACACCATACACATTAATAAAAACATTAAAACATTTGATACTGGATGTTGTGGATGCGTCAGTTCTGTTATGTGCACATGCTTTCCTATGTGTTGTGGGCTTTCCTCTGTTTTCTAAGTCATTGATTCCTCATTGATGCACTAACAGTGGTGGTTTGGTAGAAACATCTGAAGAAGTGTGTGAGATGTGAAATTGAGCTTAACATTGAAAAAATATTTAGAGACCCTTTGGGCTTTTTTGAGGTAGGGTCTTTCTTAGGCCTGCGTTTGTCTACTAAGTGCTGGGAATATAGGTATGTGCCACCTGTCCCCGACTAGTTTTGATTGTAGAATAACATTGAAACTATAGTTTTTAATTTACTGTCCCATTTTGGTAGGAATAAAGTAAATAGAAAAAGGTGTAAGGAAAATATAGATTTCTATTTCTTTTGTATTTTGACTTGTCTTACATTTAAAGAAGCATTTTCCCTGGGCTGCACAGATGGCTCAGCTGGTAAAAGGTCCTTGATATGCAAGCCTGGAAACAGTTTCCAGAAACAATTCCACAGAATTGTCCTCTGACCTCCACACATGGTATGGCGTGTATGTCCCCACATTCTTATCATACACACACAATAATAACAAGTAAAATTAATTTACTTTAGAAAAAATAGAACCATTTTTCCAGAGCCAGTGAGATACCTCTGGAGTAACGGTGCTACCCATACAAGCCTGAAAACCTGCCTTTGATCCCTAGAACCTTTGTAAAGATGAATGGATAAAACTGACTCCATAGTTTTAAGAAATAAAAAGGACCATTTCCAGAGCCTAGAATTATAAAGAAATGTGAGGTTATGAATAAACTTTCAGTTTTCATTTTTTGTTATTCACAGTTAAATGATATCATTCTCATTTTCATTGCTTGATATGGCTAAATCTTGACAAATGCTGACTTTTTAGTTCCTTTTTTTGATTTTGTTTTGAGACAGAGTTTCACTTTGTAGCCCTGGCTGTCCTTGCACTCACTATGTAGATGAGGCTGTCTTTGACCTCGAAGGGATATCCATCTGCTTTTGCCTCCCAAGGACTAGGATGAAAGGCATGTTCCACTATGCCTGTTTTTTTGTTTGTTTGTTTTTTAGTTCATTTTAACTTGACAGTCTTTAACTTATAGTTTTCCTCTATCTGAAACACTAAAATTTTAAATCATCGAGATGAACTCTTTTTTTTATCAACTCTAGGTGGCAGGATTGTACCAGCTTAAAAGTGTTCTAATTTAATATATCTTAAAAAAAATCATTTAACGACTGTTTAGAAGCTGGGTTTGCTTTTATGAATATTATCTTTAAAAATTTATTTTTGATGTTATCATTATTAAAGGCCAAATTTAAATATTTTGACTGCTGATCTCTAGGTATGTATATATTGTATTCATTTGCTAAATTGTAAACATATTAAAGGCACTTAGAGTAGTATAGATTTTACATTTGCTTTGCGTGTGTATGCGGACACATTTGTAATTGTGCATGTGGAGGTCAGAAGACATGATGAGAGGCTCAGTTCATTCCCTTCACTGTGTGCATTTCAGGGATTGAGCTCAGATTGTTAGGCATGACAACACTGACCTACTGTAGATATGAGTCTGACCTAAGATCAGAATCTTGTTTTCTGGCTTTAAGTGTCAGGAAAGTTCAAGTTCTCATCTTCCTTATATAGTTAAGATGCCCTAGTTAAGCCACCTGATTTTATAGTGTCATTAAATTATACTGAATGTCTTACTCTGTTTTGTGCTGCTATCACAGACTATCACAGACTAACTTAAACAAATTTCTGTTCCATTAAATTATTATGACTCATTCTGTTTTCTGCTGCTGTAACAGTATCACAGACTGAGTAATTTATAATGAATAGACATTTCTGTGGTTCACCATTCTAGAGGCTGGAAAGTCCAAGATCAAGGAACTGCATCTGATGAGGGCTTTCTTACTGCATCAAAAATGGCGGAAGGTATCACCTGGGTGAGAGAGAGGGAATATAAAAGAGGGCTGAAAATAATTATTTTATCAGAAAATGACTCTTAAAATCACTAAGCCATTCATTTAGTTTCCACTTAATCATTTTAAAAGTCACTTCTTAAAAAAAATCCCACCTTTCAATACTACTGTATTGAAAATAGTTTCCAACACATAGATTTTGGGGTATATTTTCAGGCCAAAGTAGTTTATTGTTGAATCATTGGTATAAATACATCTGTACAAAGAATCACCTATAATTCTTGCACACAAAACTTGATGATGCTATTTGGATTGATTCTTCTAGCGTTCATGTCTTTCATTCATTTTATCACTTTAAAAGTAATCTGATTGTCATGTTTTCACAGCAGGATTGAGATTTTGTTTGCATTTGGCACTGTGCTGACGTTTGCAGTGATGGTCAGAAGCATTGGTTGCTAAAACTGCTGGTACTTGGCACAAGTCACCCAACATTACTAGCAAATCATGGTGTTCCTTGCTTACCAATTTTAACCTTAATTAAAGTGTGACCCTTTAATATACACAATGAAATTTGAGTGCGTAAAGCAGCCGTGCACACTAAAAAAGCTGTGGTTGCTGTTAGGAACAGCATTTGTGTTATGCCTTGGATTACTAAGTGATGCATCTTTTCAAAAAAGAAAACCCTCACATTTTATATGAATGACTATGTTGTTCAGACTTATTTGCATAGACATTTCTCTTGAAAGAGTGTGTCAGGGAAAGCAGCAAACAGTATTTGTTGCCACTGTTAAGATATGAACTTTGCCGAGAAAATTAAAATTTTGGAGAGTTTCTTTCTGCTTTGATTTTTTTCAGCTAATTCTTAGACTGTTTTGATGAAACTTTTGTAAATATGACTTAATGAGTAGAAGTTATCAGCAAATAATTATTTTAAAATGTTGAATAATATGATATATTGATGTTTGGAAAATATGCATTACTGCATAACTCAGTTATAGTTTCCAGACAACCATTTAAAGTACAAAATAGATTATGCTTTATACTTTAACAAGTATGTTTATAATTTATATACTATAAAGTAGTAACGCAGAGTATTTATGGATATGGCTTCCACTTGAAGGATCTTGTAGGAAAACATTTGTTTTGGTATAACAAAGAAGAATATATTCAGCTACCTGAAAAGCTGTCTTTTTTTTTTTTAATTTGTTTTTAAAATTTTAAGAAGGTATCTTAATGCTTCTCCCTTTATTGTTGAGGCTAGATTTCTTCATATCTTTGACCAAACAAGATAAAGTAGAAATAAATACTAGAATGCAGCTATCATTTTTAATAAGCCAGATATTAAACATACTTATAAAACTTTAAGTTTTAGTCTTACTACTTTGTTGGAAAAAATTTGGAAAATAATTTTCATAAAATATACTGTCTGCATGGAATCTTGCTTTTCTTATTTTTTTAAAAAGAATTAATTCCTACTTGAAAAATTTGTCAGTTTTTATCTTTAGTGCCATAAATTGTAACTTTAGCTTAAAGACCTTTAGAGTCCTCAGTAGTTTCTAAGATGGCAAAGTAGTTCTGAGACCTGTGTTTCTGTAAAGAGTCAGGAACTAGTTAGTGTCATAGTTGTCATAGTTAGTATGCTGGTAATTATACCAGCTAGTGGCATACATTCAATGTTAAAGCTTATTTTTTGTGTATGTTTGCATAATATTTAACTTGTTCAAGCTAGGCAGTGATTGAAAACGCATTGTTCCTTAACTCCACTGAGGGAAGAGTTTAGTATAAGCAGCAATAAGATGCAATATAAGGCATATAACTTACTCAAAAGTAAAACGGAAAAAGAATATATCTTATAGTAGTACAGTGCTTAGAGACCATGAAATTGATGCTAGCCTCACCAGGAAACAAAACAGGAGGAAAGGTGAGAGAGATTACAAAGTAAAAACTAGTAAAGCAGATGGAATGATACAGTGGGGTGAGTAGTCAAAGCCAAAGAAATAGAATATTTGTATTTCTTTTTCTTTAGAAGCCTTATTTTTATGTGTATGAGTGTTTTGCTTTCTTGTATGTTAGTGCACTGTACACAATGCTTGGTGTCCTTGGTGGCCAGAACAGGACGTCCTGGAACAGGACGTACTCTTAACTGAGACATCTCTCCAGCCCCTAAATTTCTTTTTAAAAAATAATGTGGATGTGTGTGGTTTTGCTATGGTGCAAATGGGAAGGTTAAAGGGTAATATTGTGGAGCTGGTTCACTTCTGCCTTTACATGGGTTCCAAGGATTGAACTCAGGGTGATAGGCTTGTGTTACAGGAGCTTTACCTGTTGACTTACCTGCTGGCCCCAGAATGCTTCATTTTCTAGAGAAGAGAATTGTATTACATTTGAAGTACATGAGAGCAGGAACCATGTGCTTGTTGATCGTCATTGGATTTTAGTATCAGTTAAGGTATTTAGGTCACAATAGATGTGCATATATTCTTTAAACCATTGAATGCTTGATTAGTGGGTGGGGCAAAGTATTGTTACTCACTGGGGGACACTGTTAGTCATTAGGCAAAACAGTCAGGGGAGAATAATGTGTCAGGGCCAAGGAAGCATATTTCTTAAAGGAATGAATAATCACCTAGTCAGCAGTGTTAGGTATTCATGGAAAAGGCGATTTATGATTGCTTCTTACCTTTTCAGACTAAAAAAATGCACAATGAGTCTTACAGGTATCTGTAACCTTTGGCATCTTAGGAAGTCTGTGGCACACGGGCTTATTGCACTTTGAGGATTTAGTAGTTCCCTAAATTTAATTACATTTAAATGCTTACCTTTTTCTTGGTTTTATATATAAGTAGATATGGAATGATAAAAATTGTATATAATTGGTATGTTTAAGTATGATCTATAATAACCAGACTCAAGGTAGTTGACTTTTGTTTTTATGTATAATTGTTTTCTATTAACTCAATGAAATACTCAAGGTAGGAGCTTCATAGAAGGTTAGGACTTGGGACATAGATTATTGTAGAACCCTTGCTTGATTATGTGAGGGCCTTTCAGGGTGAGGAGGAAAGGTATTTATGCGGTTCAAGTTTTTGAGACTGAAAAAGACTAAGATTGGACAGCTCCACCTGTTACACCTAGACAGCTGGTAACAGCTCAAGACCAGAACCCCTTATGATAGCAGTGCCCTAATTGTTCCTCACAGGGCCCCACGTTTTTAAAGGTCCTCTACTTCTACATCCCACATTTAGGAGCACCTGTCTCACAAAGGAATCTTTGGGAGGCAGACCACAACCAAACTATAGCAATTAATAGTACCTTATAAAATAGGAAAAATTAGTGCGAAGAAAGTTTCAGTATAAATTGCTTAATGGATAAACCGTTGCTTTTGCACATGCACGCTGGGTTTAATTAGAATGTATTTGTTTTAGAATTTCTCCAAGAATATTTTTGCAATTCTTCAATCTGTAAAAGCTAGAGAAGAAGGGCGTGCCCCTGAACAGCGTCCTGCTCCAAATACAGCCCCCGTGGTAAGACTCGTTTTTGCTTGTTTTAAGAAAGTGACATTTATTTTGTATTTTAGTGTTTTAATTTTGACATCTTAAGCATTTTAGACCAGTAGGGTATAAAGTTTTGCTACTTCAGCATACTCAAAGGCTATGGAGACCCTTATCTCAGCAGTAATTTTGGGTTATTCTTGAGATATACCTGGGTGAGAGTCTGAAAAGGGATTAATTAGGAAAAGCCTTCTAAGTTAATTTTTAATTTTTAGGTTAACTGTAGCTGGCCTATTTACTGCTTGAGAAAATTGTTAATTATTGTTAAAATATAAGTCTTTGTTACTTTCCATTTTAGACTTGTTATTTGAAATCTTAGGTGACCATTTCATATTGGTATATTTGTTTTCCCTTGTCACCTGCCATATGGCCCATTCATTGTACCTTAGCTTTAACTCCTCTGTTAGTGAGTGCCTCACTGTTTAAGGTATTACTTAGGACCCTCCAAACCCTAAATTCATGCATGTCATATAGTCTCCATTTAAATTCAGAAATACCGTCTAGTTTGCTGTAAATACTTCTGCTTGTTCTCAAGATTCAAGAAAGGTAAAAATTATAATTCATATTGAGTTTTATGTAGAGTTTGGAAAAACATTGGTAGAGTACTGAACATAACCTTGGAAGTTAATGGTAATTTTATTTACGCATGAAATCATTAATACTTAATTTTTACAGATACTGAACTATTGGTAATATTTAGACAGATACTTGTACTTGGCTTACCAAAAATGTTCAACTAATATCTACTTGTTATACAATGTGTTGAGCATCTGCAGATAATATAATACAATGTCATAGTCCCTGTCCTGTTTTGAGTTCATAGTGTAGGAAATCAAACCTGCTAGCTCTATGAAATGGGAATATAGTAAGTGCTATGATGTTAAAACATAGGGTGCTTATAATTACAATAGTAATTGGTGGGAAGAATGTGAAACCCTAAGATATTTAAACCATTGTCTTTGTGAATGTGAGTATTCCTTGTGTGTATTTTACAATCATCGAAACAGTTGAATATTTATGTTTGGCATTTGATCATACAGATGTATGTATATATGTAGCTATAGTCTTGGATAATTTTTCTTTTGCAATATTAGAGTATAATCCTATCCTAAAGTGAAGAATATATAAACGTTAAGATTTCCCAAGTAACTTTAAGATTTTTTTAAAAATACCTACTTTTAGGTTATTATAGACCATAATTTTAGTATGAAATATTTGGATTAGATTACATGATTAGAATCTGGCTTTTTTTCAATTTTTAAAAAACTAACATTATAGTATATATTTACAAGTGTTTCTGGAATGCCTATTAGTTTAGTCTTTTTTTTTTTTTTTTTTTTTTTGAGATGGGGTTTCTCTGTCTAGCCCTGGCTGTCTTGGACTCACTCTGTTCAGATTATTGTTGGAGAGAGTATTATTTCACAAAGTCATTTAAGTAATTAGAATGTATTTGCTTATCATATTATTTCTGCAGTTTTGATGCAAGTATACTTGAAATTGTCTTTACTCTTGGTATAAGGATGGTCATTTTTTAGTAGCAAATAATTTTCAATAGTGAATCCTAGTTATCAAATGCCAAATAATCTTCTTACCTTATTCTGTCTTCTGGCCTATATTGGAAATAACACTTATTTTTTTTATAAGTATCTGTATCAGGTTTTATGAGTGTTAAATAAGTAATATTTAAAAATATTGACTTTCAACTCTTTTTTTTTTTTTTTTTTAAAGGATCCCACATTGCGTACAAAGCAGCCTATTCCGGCTGCCTACAACAGATATGACCAGGAAAGATTCAAAGGCAAAGAAGGTAAGTTGCTTTTTCCGTATCTTCTTGTCATCATGATCATGCTGAGCTTGAGTGGATGTATAGTTTGATATTTAAGAATAAGGGTTGTCTTATATTTTTGGTTGTGAGGCTAGCCTTTAACGGCTGAGCCATCTCTCCAGCCCTAAACTTTGGAACAAAAGTTTTTATAATTTAGGAACTTTCTATTTTACATGCTTTTAGTGGTACAATCATTTAGTAGTTAGTAGTAAAAATACAGGCACTACAAGTTTTTTATTTAGTATGATTAAATTTATATTGTTTTTATGTGTGGATGTTTTTGCTACGTGTATTTCTATGTACAACATATGTGCTGGGTGTTCATGGAGCCACAAGAGGGCATCTGATCCCCTGGAACTGAAGTTACAGGCATTTGTGGGCAGATTGTGTGTGCTGGGAATTGAACCTGGTCTTTTGCAAGAATATCTAGTGCTCTTAACTGCTGAACCTTCTCTAGCTCTTTAGTGTGATTTTTAAAGAAAATTTGAAAGATAATCTTAATCATATTTTATGAAATCAGTGCTTTGACATTTATTGCAAGTAGTGTCTTAAAAGTTTTTAATTTTTAGAAATATGTGATAAAATTGTATAGTATATTTAAGGTCTTGTTACACTGTTGATTGTTAGGTGTAATGTAAATTATGGTTGAAATTTTTACCAGCCATGAAATACATGAATCATAATAGACTCCTTTTCTTTGCAGAAACGGAAGGCTTTAAGATTGATACCATGGGCACATACCATGGCATGACACTGAAATCTGTAACGGTAAGTTATTATGACTACAGAGCTTATTTGTTCCAGGTGTTTTATGTGAGTAGCAGATGGTAAACTTTTATTCTTTAGTGTTTTCTAATTGAAACATTTTTCAATGGCCATTGTAGTGGTGATAGATATGTGTGATATGAGTGTCTCCCTCACCCCCCTGTTTTTTTAATGAGATTTTGAATTTAAAAGTGTTTTGACTAATGTGAAACTAGGATGATGTTGTATCATTGGGACATTTAAAGCCATTGAGTTGAAGGTCATATGGGACCCCTCCCCCCCATCTGTTATCTGTGTTCTTTCAAATGTAATTGTTCTTGGAAAAATAAGAATGGGACTGGACGTGTAGCTCAGTGGTAGAGCCCTTGCTTAGACTGCTCAATGACATGGGTCCAGTTTCCAGATCAACCAAGTGAGTAAACAGAGTGTAGTAGTTGATGGAGTGTTTAAAACACATGATTGAACGAAATATTTATACAGTCATGAATGTAAGTCTTTGGTTCAAAGACTTTTAGTTAGTTCTTTCTCTTCCCTTCTCTCTTCTTTCTTCTAACCTCCCTCCCTCCCTCCCTCCCTTCCTCCCTCCCTCCCTCCCTCCCTCCCTCCCTCCCTCCCTCCCTCCCTCTTCCTTTGCTCTTGCCCCCCATGCTGTCTTTCTCACCCTCACTTTTTTTCTTTTTTTCTTTTTTCGAGGCAGGTTTCTGTGTGTAGCTTTGGAGCCTGTCCTGGAATTCACTCTGTAGACCAGGCTGGCTTGAAACTCCCAGAGATTCACCTGCCTCTGCCTCCCGAGTGCTGGGATTAAAGACATGCGCCACCAACGCTTGGCTGTCTTTCTCACTCTTGCTATGTTGTTTTTAGCTTAGACTTAGAACTCCTGGGTTCTAGGAATCTTCCTTTCTCAACTTCCTGAGTAGCGGAGACTACAGGCTCTCTTTAATTTTTTCTTAGCCATTCCATAGCTAAAATAGCCTAGCAAGAAATAGTGTGGCCAACTTCTTTCTGTTTAACTCTTCTCATTATTGTGTAGTAAATGGTAATATTTGATAATATAGGTCAGTCAGGTAAATGCTGTTAACTTCTTTTTGAATTTGTATATTCTGATGTATACTTAAAGACCTAAGAGTGTTACTTTTGTCTTTGTGAATCATCAGAAATTTACAGACTTTACATGACATGGAATAACATATTTGCTGTGATTTCTGAGTTCAGATTTAATCTTTATACTTAGAATTTGCCATACAACGCTGTTGAAGTTTTGATTTTTTTTTTTCCATTTCAAATTGGGACTCTATTTAGTATTTTGCTAATATACTTTTAAATTATCAGGTTTGTTTTCATTTTATTGAGATTGTATGTAGGCTTGCAAACTCATTGAACAAGTATTTTTTGAGCGCTTGTATCAGGTGTTTGACTTTGAATACTCTGGGTGTAACTGCTTCAAAGAGGCCTCTCTCCGAGGTCAAAGTTGAGCAAGTGCTTCCAGAAGAGCATTCCCTGAAGGAACAGCAGGCTTAAAAACTGACTTGGTAGACAGTGATAAGAAGGCCAGTGTTTCCAGTTTAGTGAGCAAGAGCAAAATGGTAAAAGATCAGATACAGCTATGCCATTCATTTGTTTGGTTGGTTGTGATTCAGAATGTAATTAATGGTGATAATGTTTAACGTAAGCTCTTATTTATTTATTTATTTATTTATTTATTTATTTATTTATTTATTTATTTTGGGTTTTTCAAGACAGGGTTTCTCTGTATTGTTTTGGAGCCTGTCCTGGAACTGGATCAGTAGATCAAGCTGGCCTCGAACTTCCAAAGATCTGCCTGCCTCTGCCTCCTGAGTGCTAGGATTAAAGGAGTGTACCACCAATGCCTGGCTCATTTATATTTTTAAAAGAGAGTCTCATTATGTGGCTTTGGCTGTCTGGACCTCAGTGTATAGACCAGGCTGACCTTGAACTCACAGAAATCCACCTAGCTGCCTTCCTAGAGCTTGTACTACTAAAAGCATGTCCCATCATGTCTGGCTTGAATTAAATTCTTCTGGAAGAGCAACCAGAGCTCTTAACCACTGAGCCATTTCTCCAGCTTGAGTTAAATTCTTATATGATTCAGTTAGTTGATGCTTTCTTGGAGACCGAATTTGTCTGTACTATTAAGACAGATAAATGTGTATTAAATGTCAAAGGTTTTGTTGCTCACAAATGCTTTTTCTTTTCTATGTATAATTCTTATTTGCTAATGTTCTTAAAATTTTTAATGTGTCTAGTTAATGTAGTTCCTGAAATTAGGATTTATCTACATTAGTATTAATCTTTGTAACGTTTAACTTTAGTATCAGAGTTCTCTTGATACATGACTAAATAAATACATTAATAATCTTTTATATAGTATATTTTTTTCTATATGTGTTAGACAAGGCTTGTGTTTTAGTGGTCACTTCATAACTGTAAGGTACTAAAACTTGTATGAATAAAAGATCTGCAAGTGTTTTGATAATAAAGTTCTGAAGTATTGAGAGCTAGAGAGAGATGGTTCTGTGGTAAGAACCCTTGCGACTCTCCCTGAGGACCCTAGTTTGGTTCCTAGCACCAGGTGAGATAAGTCAGAAAGATTGCACCTCCAGCTTTCGTAGATGCATGGACTCTGGGCACCTACACTCAGGTGCACTTGCTCTCACACCTTTAACACACAAATCTGTGTGCTGGTCAATTCTGGTTAACCTTTTCTTTTCCTAAGCTGAGAAATCCCTATTTACTTATTTATTTTTATTGTATTTTGGTGTTTTTTTTTTTTTTTTCTTCCCCCGAGGCAGGGTTTCTCTCTGACTTTGGAAGCTGCCCTGGGACTAGCTCTTGTGGACCAGGCTGGTCTTGTAGACCAGGCAGAGATCCACCTGCCTCTGCCTCCCGAGTGCTGGGATTAAAGGTGTGCACTACCACTGCCCCGCTGGTGTTGCTTTTTAAAGACGGGGTTTCACTATGTAGTCTTGGCTGACTTAGAATTTGTTATATAGATCAGGATGGCCTCAAACTCATAAATTATTCACTTGCCTCTGCTTCCTGAGTTCTGGATTTAAAGACATGAACCACATGTCCTAAAGGGATCTCACTTTGTAGATCACACTAGCCTTTATTTCTCAGTCAGGGAAGATTCCTTCTGTCTCTGCCTCCCACACAGCTGGAGTTGAGGTACACATTGCTTCACCTAGCTTCTGTTTAACTTTTGACTTAGATAGGTCAAGGCATATGTTTGGCATTAATTATTCCAGTGTCCCAGAGTCCCAAGGTCCATAAATGTTTTCAGAAATTTTCTTAGATGGACCTTTCTCCCAAAGTAAGTTTCCAAGATTTATTTTTTCTTTTTAAAAATATCTATCTGCCTGTCTGTCTGTGTCTGTCTATCTTATCTATCTGTTTGTCCATCCGTCCATCCATCCATCTATCTAATCTATCCACTCTATTGTGTGCCTGTGTCCATAGAGGTCAGAAGAGGTTATTGAATTGGTAGCTCCTGAAAGTGGAGCTACACACAGTTGTGAGCTGCCATGTGGGTGCTGGGAATCGAACCTGGGTTCTCTGGAAGAACAGCCAGTGTCCATAACCATTGAGCCATCTCTCCAGTCCACCCCCAGCGTTCTTTAATGTTCTAAGAAACATTAGATCCAATAGTTTTTTTTTGTGGCAGAGAAATGCGAATTTTTTAACATGTGGTTATTGGAAGAAAATTGTCTTCACTGGTGGTTTTCTCTTTACTCATTTTGGAAGGGAATATTCTTAGAAAGAATGAACCATTATTATAGAGAATTTATTTTGAATAAAGCTTAAAGTTAAGGGTTGGAAGTAGAAACCTGTTAAGGAAAATTCTTCATATAGTTCATATACTAACTAGTGTTTTGGTTTAGTTGTAGTGAAAATATATGAATTTTAAATTTGGAACCTTTTTAGTTATTATGTTTCATATACTTTTATACTATATGTAATTTGTGAATGGACCAGCATAGATTAAAAAAATGCCATTTGAGTGTGTATAGTACTATGTATCTATATTCTGAATACTTAGGATGCAGCAACAGGAGGATCGCTGTAATTTGGGATCAGCCTGGTCTAGCTAGCAATTTCCAGGCCAGCCAGAGTGTGAAACTCTGCCCTAGTACCACTACCATCCAAAACACGGAAAGAAAATGTTACTTGGTAATGCTTTTATTATATAGGAAATAAGATATGGGAAGGTTTTGTTTGTTTTGTTCTTGTTTTTTTAGTTGAGTTGTAGTAAGGAACTGTTGTGTCCTTTCTCTGGAGAGGGAATAAGATGTACTTAGAGTTGATTGTTGTTATTCATAGGGATTTGGTAATTGCATTAAGAATCACTTAATTTTCTCTTGTCTAGACTACTTTTAAGATCTAGAAAGTTTAAAAAGTCTAGCAACTATTTGTTCCTTTTTTGTTTGTTTTGAGACAGGATCTCTACATATCCCTGGCTGTCCTGGAACTTGATAATGTAGATTAGGTTGTACTTAATCTCACAGGGATTGCCTCCCTAGTGCTAGAACTAAAGGCATGTGCCTCCATGCCCACTGTCTTCGTCTATGAGGAAGCATTTTGCAACATGACATTGTACTTGAAAACTCTCTTTAACATATTAATTTGGATTAACCAATAGTTTTAGTAAGTAGTTTTTAAAATAAATCTTTTATCATAGTAAACTATTTTCAGATAGTAAATATAAAATGGAGGTATAATAATATTACCATTACTTTTGATTTTTAGGATAATATAAAATCTCTATCTTGTCTAGGTTATAATTCTTAAAAGCAGGTATACATATGTAACTTCCCTATAGTTTTATAAACCCTTCTCATTGTTCTTCATTGACTAATTTGTTCTTTTCTGCTTACAGTGTTCCGGTAGTACTATAGTAGCAGTAATGTTCTGGATTTGAGTCTATCTAGATCTCAGACCAGCCAAGGTAGAGTAGTTACTGAAAAATTTCTTCCTTTTGGGCTGTC